CGACACGATTTGTCGTTGGAAGTGACTATATCCAACGATATCTTAATTTGTACCAATTTTTGCACCAAATTCTTTTTCTTTTTTGCTTATTATTTTAGCAAGACATTAATATCTAAGTACAATAAACGCGAGAAAATCTTTATCCATTGTCGACGGCATTTTTTGAAATCACAATAGGACTTTCTTAATGATTTCTTATATTTACGCGAACACTATACATTGATTAAAACTACTTTTACGGATTTTATCGCGTTTTATTTATTTTTGTTTTTGATACCCGGCGTTTCGGGTGCTTTCCAGCACCCATGGTCACGGGGGACTGAGGTGACTGACATCCCGATGTCAAGGTTAACCCGGAGTACCTTCAGCTTTTTAATTATTGTCTTTGGTCCGATCTACGCAGGATGAACTAACTGTATTTTGAAGTCTTGCAGTGGTATGCTTGGGTTTAGTTTTAATTTTATTAATTATAGGTTCCCAAGCAGGTGGTAGTACCCAGCCTCCTTCTCTATTGAAATTAGGATGTTTTTTAATTTCAATAGCCTCACGTATCATCCTTGGTAGGAATCGATGTTCTTTCGCGAGGATTTGTGGTCTATCAAATCTGATGTAATGGTTGGGGTCATCTAGGATATGATCGCAAACTGCAAACTTCCCGCAACGTTGATGCTTCACGTCAGCTACCTATCTGTTCTTTTACGCGGGTTCTAATTGATATCTTTGTTGCCCTATATATGAGAGACCACAATCACAATCAAGCTTGTACACTCCTGCATCTTGTAGAGGAATATGACACTTGACGAATGGTAAGAAGTTTTATTATCTGTATTACAAGCTACTTTTTTATCTACTATACTATATTCTCAGTACTCTGTAGTCCGACAAATTCGATAATCCGACACCGCCTTGCAAAACGTTTGTCGGATTACCGTAGTATCGGTCTACTGTATATATAATATACTTAATGTTACCTATAAACAGTTTAATAACGTAAGATATTATTATTTATTACACAGTCACGTTCGGAAAATAAAATAAAATTTTAATTAACTTGTTTTCCAGTAAAAACGACAATTATGTTAGAGTAAAAGGCAATAAATCGATAAAATTGTTGTTTTTTTAACCGACTTCAAAAGGATGTATTCAATTCGATTGTATGTTTTTTTTATGTGTGTTACCTCAGAACTTTTATGTAGGTGAAGCGAATTTGATGATTTTTTTCTTATCTGAAAGCTGATGCTTTTCGTGTGGTCACATATATTAATTAAGATTATTAATCTTTATATATATATATAAAAGGTCAGGTGGGGTAAGAGGGACATACTTTATTAGCAGTAAAATATTTTGACTGCTAGGAAGAACAGCTAAAGTCTTTTAAGATCTTTGAAAAAAACAAAACTTGCCTTTATGTTGATTAAAACTACTTTTACGGATTTTATCGCGTTTTATTTATATTAATTTTAATACCCGACGTTTCGGGTGCTTTCCGAAACGTCGGGTATTAAAATTAATATAAATAAAACGCGATAAAATCCGTAAAAGTAGTTTTAATCAATGTATAGTGTTCGCGTAAATATAAGAAATCATTGCCTTTATGTATTAGCTTCACATGTGCAAAATGTCGTTACGCTATTATCAGTTCTTACGACGATATTGACGTAAATGTCAAGATTAAGTAAACGTTCCTCTTCCCCCTTACATGGGGTAAGAGGGACAGTCATTGTATTTCTTAAGATTGGAGTTTGAATTAAAATATTCTTTGCTAGATGTTCATTAATTTGCAGGTAGAACTGCTTCGGTCAAAATTAGATCTTACAATCGATGAAACAAGGTATCGTTTGTAATGAAAAAGAAATAAATAAATCAATTCGGTGTAAGAGCGACATACAGGTTCGATCAGGGGTAGCAAACTAAAAAGAAGTCGACCAGATATTTCTATATTTATTTAATCATACAAACAGTAATACATCTCCCTAACTAGTTTTCCCTTGTTAGTCACTCTTTAAAAATAACAATAGCACTTGGATTTTAAACCTTTGCGGTCGTATACACGGTTAACAATTGTTGTTCTTGGTATATTATAAAGTTTTGATGCGGCGTATGCAGATATTGTTCTATTTTTTACTTCATTGACAGCCTCACTAATTTATCATTATCATATCTGCTTCTATCAGATTTTCTTATATATATTCGCAGCATGTTTTATCATATATGTATATCATTCTTGCAAGTTACACGTGGCCGAAATTGCGGGAAATTTCTAGTTAAGTTATAGTTTAAAATTGTTATTATATTAAATAAAATTGTCAATTATAATATAAAATTGTTTAAAATTGCAAAACAGTAGGTACAAAGCAGTCAGTCAATTCTTTTCATTTAATCTACCTATAATTATAAATTATTCAAAATGTTTGTTACCCCTGACATGGTGTAAAAGAAACATAATATGCTCTTTTCACCGTGAATAGTGACCCTCTTACCCCAGCTATTATTTTCGGTGGTTTAGATTTTCAAGCGAAAAAAACTCTTATTATTAGTTGTTTTTAAAATAAAATGGTTAATAAAAAGAAATATTACAGTTTTCTGCGTATATCATTACATTCAAAATATTTCCAGCACTCTTTTTTCACCTAACTATTGGTTCGCAAAAACAACGCGCTAACTTTGTACTAGTCGAATTCACAACTATCAAATGTGTCTTCATTTTTTGTGGCTTCTGAGTCACGTAGCGACGTATCTATTGAAAACCGTTCTAACTATTTCGCATTCACTATTTTATTGAAGAAAAGTTCATTGTCATACGCACTTCGGTTTACTAGATTCCATGCTCCCTTCCCCGACCTTATATATATATATATATAATTAATAAAGATATGAGCAGTAGGTTTTAAAAACGTATTTAATTGACTTCGACTACATTGATGATGTTCTCATTCGTCGGTCGTACAAAATTTTTAATTTTCCCACTTGTTTATTTTATTGTTTAGTAAAATTTTGACGAAACTGTTGAAGTTTATGGAATAGAATAATTTTTATTTAAAGAAGATTACAACAATACAAGTCATCTAATTTTTATCATTTTATCAGCTGGAAACCCAGTGGGACTTTCTTAAACAATATTTACAATATAACATGTTGCACAAGTGACTAAAAAACATTAAGAAACAGCATGGTAGAGTTTAGAGTTGTCAGACGTCGGGATAAAGCCGACAGTTAGGCTTTTTGGTTGTGTGTCCGGCCAAATTGGACGGTGCCCGGCTTTTAAAATTTAAGGCTTTTTAAATTTGAACATTTCTTTACATTTTTTCATATACTTACATACATACTATTTCAATTATTGAAATTAATATTGTAATGAATATTAAATAATTAATAATAAAGAAGACTGATTTATTCAATCGTTGTTATTTCGTTAGAATTTAAGTTTTTACGGTAAATGATAAAAAAGTTTTACTTTAAAAAAATATCTTTTAAGCTAAACTCGCTGGTCTATCCATCTTTTCGGTTTTAAGACCTGGCAACCCTTGTAGCGTTCATCTCATTCCCAGGGGTTAAGAGGATACCATGAAAATGAATCGTAGGTTTGGGGGCGTGGCTTATCCCTTTGTCGGTGAAGCTCAAGGACGACTGAGGGAGTGTCGGAATGAAAGTGATGCAATGACTTCGTAGTACGCAAATTATGAGATAGCTATACCGAACACTCGCTCGGAAAAAAACTAAGTAAGCGCCAAACAAGGTTTTTTTTTTTTTCAATAAAACTACTTAATGGATTAAAAAAGTGGTTTATGAGAACTTAGATATGATTATATACTATGCCTTAAAAATAATTCCATGAACTTATTCGTAAAAATATTGTAGTGTCATGGAAAAATATAACTAATTTGAGCCTACTTTGCAATTTTTTTCTATCGAGAAAATTTCATGATATCGTGTTTTCCTTTTATGTAGGTAATACAAGGTTATATAGTCAAAAATCATATACCAAAATTTTGGTTTGTAATCTATAAAGCTTAAAAAATATGTTAAAGAGAAAAACCACTAAATTTTCCTTGATATCTATATCTCTTTAGTAGTATAAAACTCTTACCAAACAATTTTTTCTGCTCGCTGGGGTAGTGTTTCGCCTATACAGGGACGCGCCAAAGAAAGTTCCCTAAATAGTGTTATATTTATATTTTATATATATTTTTGGGTTAAGGTATACATATATTGCTATGGCCAATGTCCTTAATTTTGAAGTCCTTGATGCCTAATATAAATTTATAGTATTGTATTAATAAATATTTTAAACCTTTTGAAACTTTGTTTTTTACGTGGTAGGGCCATGCTGCAGTTCTATTAGTAGTATAGTTGTAGCACGAACGGGTTGGCTCGACCGGGGAGGGACCACGCTCTCACAAAATACCAGCGTCAAATAGTAGCTTAAAGCTGCTGTGTTTCGTGTGGTGAGTGTAGAGAACCGGAGATCCTTTATACTGTAAACGAGGCATTCCACCTCAGTCCTCACGGATAACAACGCATTTGCATTTTGATTCGTAATCGTGGATAGATGTAGATGTCTATGGGCCGCAGCAACCACTTACCATCAGGTGGACTATGTACTCGTTTGTCACCCTATCCTATAAAAAAATAAAAAAAAATAACGTATACATTGCCCGCCTGAAAAAATATCTATATTTTTTTATCCAAGCCTACTCCATAGAATGTCTCATAGGAAAGATATTTGCCATAGTTGGCACGTTTGGCAAGCGGGTTAGCAACCGCAGTTTTTTTATTACTTTACTCCTGATTTGTTTCCCTGTGTCGCATCTTACGACACCCACGGGACGATATGGGGTAGTGGATATTCTTACACTGCCACTACACGGTGAACATTCTAACCTAAGTTCAACAATTTCATTGTGATTTTCTTTACAGACAAAATCGGCAGCCATATGACGCTCGGTCGACGCGCAAAACAATCCACTTCTTAAACCAAGCTGCGGTAAAAAAATACCAAGATGGCGTCGAAGGCTATATACGAAGCGACCGGCAAAGATATTATAACCAGGTAAGAAATGAACACAATACCAGGGCTGAATCTGAATGACAGGTTGAGATATTGTGTGATAAAAGAAAAGTATGGTTTGCAAGATGTTGTGACCAGGATTAAGAAAAGTATGGTTGGTAATTTGGTACGAAGAATGTACGAGGAAAGAGTGACAAAGCAGATTTCTGTTGCAGGAGTCGGGAAGAGATTCCCTAGACGAAAGTTTATTAACCTAAGTGGTAAAGCTACGCTCCAGCTATATCAGTTCGACTCGACCGTGGTAGGACCATGGTCTCACTGAATACCAATTTAAAATGTGATCTGTTGATGTGTTTCGTATAGTGTTTGTAGAAAACCGGAGAACCTTTTTACTGGAAGTGAGGCATTCCATCTTGGTCGTTAGGTGTGACAACGCATCTGCATTATGAGTCGTAATTGAGGATAAATGTGCGGACTGTGTGCTCGTTTGTCACCCTTATTTATATACTTAAATAAACTAATTGACGAGGACGAAAGAGGTCGGAATAAAAGTAGAGTACCCTTAACCGAGTAGCATGTATGCGTAGGTATATGGATGTGTAATGGAGGCGAGAATGACGTGTCAGGATCGTGCTAAATGGAAGTCTGTGGTCTCTGCCTACCCATCTGGGTGTCTGGCGTGAGTGTTTATATATCTATGAAGATAGATATCTACGATAACAGTGCGAAATAGCAGCGTAACACTGCCGTGGTTGGCTCGTCAGGTGACGAAAACCGGAGACATTTACATTCACATATTAGCATTCCATCTTACTTCTTCACATCGGTTTACAGGGCAATGAGGAGGCTGATAAGCTGACGAAATTGGCAATCACCCAAGGAAGAGAATGTAATATTTATCCTGATTATTCAGAAATTTTAATTAAATATAAAGAGAAATGTTATACAATTTGGAAAGAATATTTTGATAAAAGATCGCAAGAAAAAGGGATTTGGTACAAAACCATCCAGAGTCAGCCTCCGAAAGTGCCTTGTTTTAATCAAAGTCTGTTGAATAGAAAATATATTGTATTAGCAATGCGACTTCGTTCCGGACACATTCCGTGTAACAAGTTTGCTTTCAAGATGAAAATGAAACAATCTCCAAATTGCGATACATGCAAAACAATATAAGATGTACAACACTTGCTCGCGGAATGTTCCAAAAATTGAATTTCATGAAAGGAAACTATTAGTTGCCAAAACTGATATTAAAATTTGTAACCTAGGGGAATATCAAAGCATTCTGTCTGAACCATTATCTAATGCTGCTCAAATTGTATATAACTTAGTTAATATTTTGTGTAAATAATTTAAGAAATTGTAGTTTGTTATTTAGTTATAAGGTACAATGGGACTGACATGTTTAAAATAACCTAAGTCCCTAAATTTAAAAAAAAGAATTTAAAAAAAATCTTACTTCTTATGGTTGAATACGCATCTGTATTCTGATCCTTAATCGAGAATAGTTATATCGAATCTATGGACCACAATATCCATTTACCATCAGATGGACTGTGTGCTCGTTTGTCATCCCTTCCAAATTCACACTAACCATATCACAACCAAAAAAAAACATATCACTACGACACCTGATAGATAGGCCACCTTCTTTAGTCTTTTAAGACCACTGCCGGTTATATTTAGGTCTTTTGTATAACGTCTGGCACATTAAGTATGCATTTCTTCAAAGATGAAAGTGATTCGAACCCGCTCGGAACAAGTATTTGAATGACCTACAAATAATTGTTCCGGGTCTGCCTTTATCATACAGGAGAAAATCCTAGTGTGGAGGTAATGTTTTTTTAAAATAGTTAAGCTTAAAGTTACAGCCTATATACGTCCCACTGCTGCGTACAGGCCTCCTCCTCTCATTCCTGAAAGGTTTTCAAGGCAAGGAAGTGTCCGCCGCGCTGCCCCAATGCGTGTTAAGGCGAACTTCACATTTTTTCGAAATATTTTTTCTTAAATGCAGGTTTCCTCACGATGTTTTCCTTCGCCGCCGAGCACGTGGTAAATCAGCATTTAAAATTGCAATTAACAATTTCATTGGTGCCGGCGGGTATCGAACCCGGTTTGCTCGCGTACTGTGAAATTTACAGCGAGCACTAACCATCTGAGCTACCACGGCTTTTTTTTAAATGAGAATAATAAAAATTTCCCATTTATCGATATTTATGTACGTGTCACAGCCCGAAACTGCAACACGAATCGGTCGACTTGACTTTACCAGGGAAGGCACAAAAATAATTTAATACAGCATATCAAAAATCTACTGAACACAGCCCCCTCCCCCTTAGATTACCATACGAGGGATACTTGCCATGGCCGCCACGTTTGGCAGGCGACTGCAGTTTTTAATTTTTAAGTTGTTAATAAGTAGATGGTGCTGTTCATGCAGTATATTAAAAAGCAGAGTCGCTCTAGACCAGGGGTGGCGAACCTTTATGGTTGGCGGCTGTACATTCATGTTTCATGCACGAGAACACTCGCCATGCCTCGAGCGAGCCTCTCGCACGAGAACGCTTCACGAGTGTGACCTTGTACATTTTCGTTTATTCAGTTATGGTGTCGGACGACGAGGAGATGGACGCATGATTTCGGACAGATAGAAATTTGGCTTTGTGGTAACGATGCGTGAGCTCCCACTAAATAGGTTCACTTTGATAAATTTCAAGAGAATAGAGTTTGCTCTCTTGGTTCCACATGATAACTTTGTGGTAGTAGGATAAACATATATGTATATTGCCTGCGACAATATATTGCGGTAGACTGAACGAAGCGCGAGTGTACAGTGACGCACTCGTGTCCACTCGCGAGGGAAGGCGAGGCCTTTTGACTCGCGCACCAAAAACCGACACGAGCGCGAGAGCACGCGAGGCGAGGCTGTACACTCTCGTCCTCGCCTTGCCTCGTGGACCCTCGTCGAGAGTGTACAGCCGCCATTATGTATCAACATGCCATTTTTTTTAAAGAAATGTGTAATTAAGCAAAATAATTTTGACGTCGTGATTATGGGATAAAATGGTAGTACTAAATACTATTGACTCAAAACTTTTTATTTACTATGCGTCGTTAGCAATGGTAGTCCATTATGTAACTAGGATAACTCGCGTTCGTTCGTAATATAATACTTCATAGTGAACATTGTGATCGGTGGCGTGCCCAAAAAATTGTGTCGCGTGCCATTGGTTCGAAATCCCTGCCTTAGACGGAAGTTTAATTGAGTTAACGGAAGTATACTGGATGACCTTTTTTATCGCCTGGAAAAATTAGGGTGTAGGGTGTAGAAGCCTATGGCACTGATATTTTACAAAAAAAAAAACTTTGAATTATTTTTAGACTTAGCGGTCAGCCACCGTAGAGTCTACATCACCGAAGGATGCGGATGGTTGCAAAGTAACTATTAATATCTTTATTATAATTGATTTCCGCAAAGTAACGCCAGATTCTATCAATTAACTTTGACTTACTTACTTAGCCAGATTCTATCAATTAACTTTGACATACTTACTTAGCCATATTCTATCAATTAACTTTGACTTAGCAATTAACTTTGAATTAAATAAATAAATTACCCTACTTTACGAACGGCAATAAAACAATAAATTTAGTAGGCATCTTTGACCTTGTCACTTCGCAAGGTCACAGACTCAAGGGCAAAGTGCAAAGTAATTGCTAAAAAATTCAAATGTTTAATTCTTCAAAAATTTTGTTTTTATTTTTGGTAAAATATCATAGTCTTCTACTCCGTTCACATGTTACACCCTATTTTTTTCCACACGGTAAAAAACGTCTTCCAGTATATTGAAAGTAGGCTAATTTAAAGAATGTTCTGAACCGACAAGAAAGTATGAGTAGATATATAGATGTGAAAGAAGCCAGACAGGAGCCAGGATCGTGTTTGGAAGTCCGTGGTATCTGCCTACCCCTCTAGGCAGGCATGAGAATTCATGTATTTTGTAATGTCTTTGTTGCCTCTTCGTATACCCACGGAATGATATGGATTAGTGTATTTCTTTGCATGGCGCATTCGTTATTGTGACGTGGGACGAGCCATTCTATCTAAGTCATAAAAGGTGACAATGCATCAGTTTTTAGTTAGTTCAAATACTCATTAAGTGTGTTATATATTATTTTTCAAACACTTAAGAAATTACAGGGAGCACTGATATGAGTCTATAATTACTAGGATCAGTTTTTGGCTCGGACTTATGGATTGGGTTAACTTTCGCAGTTTTTAGGCTGTCAGGAAATGAACCATTTGATAGGCATTTATTGATGCAATTTGTAAGGTTGATGGCAATGATATTTTTAATGCATTTAAGGGCCTTTGGACTTATTTCATCAATACCCGTACTGGTATGATCAATTAAATTATTAATAATTTATAACACTTCTTTGACACTACAAGGTTTTAATTCGTAAGGTATGTTGATTTGGCCACAATACCAGGTGGACAGTGTGTGTGCTCGTCTGTCACTAATGGACGACACACACGGTCATTTCAACTGATCATTACAACTGATCAGTTCAAATTAGGACTGTCGATATTTTTAAAATATCGGATTATCGATATATTGATAATTATAAATATACTAGCTTGCCAGGCAGACGTTGTTCTGCCCTTTTCGACGACCCTTTGTCATGTTCTATTAAAAAACATTAAATTCGCAAAAAAAGTGTGGGTCATTCACGGGCAAAAAACTATCCTATCTCTCAAGTTGAACTAAAGCACACGGTATGCAAATTTGATTAAAATTGGTTGAGTAGTTTAGGAGTCCATAGCGGACAAACACCGTGACACGTAATTTATAAAGATAAATATCGTAGTTTTATATATAAGTTTATTTATCGATAAATCGAAAATCCGAAATTATAGAAAATATCAGCAGTTCCAATTTGAACTGATCAGTTGGCATGATCAGTTGAACTGACCGTGTGTGTCGTCCATTAGTGACAAACGAGCACACACACTGTCCACCTGCTGGTAAGTTGGTATTGTGGCCAAATCAACATACCTTACGAATTAAAACCTTGTAGTGTCAAAGAAGTGTTATAAATTATTAATAATTTAAATGATCATACAGTACTATTATATCAAGTCCAAAGGCCCTTAAATGGATTAAAAATGTCATTGCCATCAACCTTACAAATTGCATCAATAAATGCCTATCAAATGGTTCATTTCCTGACAGCCTAAAAACTGCGAAAGTTAACCCAATCCATAAGTCCGAGCCAAAAACTGATCCTAGTAATTATAGACTCACATCATTCTTTGAAATAAGAAACCCAGTTAGAGCCCTGCTGTCGAGTCTTCCTTTCCTTCCGTCTTAAATTCAGCCGTGTATATTGTTCAACATCCATTTCGATACTGAGTTCATTAATTGCTCGATGCTTTCAGGCACATAGCACCTGGTACGGCTCTTGTGCCGTGTCGGATCGCCGTGTTCGAGCAGGACACCGTCTGGGAGGACGAGATCGGGAAGAATCCATGGATCACCAAAGAGGTAAATTTTTTACTAATTTTCTTCCGCGTACGACCTCTCTGTGGAATAATTTACCACCGGCGATTTTTCCGGACCGATACGACCTGGGGACCTTCAAGAAAAGAGCAATTCCCCTGGTGTTACAGTTGATCATGGGCGGCGGTAGTCACTTAACATCAGGTGAGCCGCATGCTCGTTTGCCCCCTCTTCTATAAAAAAAATTATCTGTCAAATTTCCTTACAACTTTCACTACATGAAAAAGTCTACTAATGAGGGCTAATTAATCTTCCAGATGTCGCAAGTTGGATTTGAGTTGATTTTATTTAACACGGAAATGGCCACGCAGTGTCATATTCGTTGTTGACTTGCGTTTTAATTTGATTAAAAACCTGATTTTACCATAAACCTGAGACATAATTTAAGAAATAAAAATATTTTTATTTATTTTTTTAATTTTAGAAGAATGTGAATATATATTTAGGAATATCTGTTGTTTGTTTTATCCATTTATTTAATTAACATAAAATATAACTAATATTTCTGAAAGGAGCATTAAATCTCTACACTTTACTAATAAATGATCTTTCCGCGACATAAAATCTGTCAAATATTACACACCGCTGCAAAGTGGCCGCCCTGGTGGCAGAAAAGTCGCGGCCTCTCCCGCTCAAGGATTGACTATTCATAAACGTGAACACTTTTATGGTGGTTTATCACTGCGTGTGTTATCACCACGGATCACACCCGCACGCGCCACGCGCAGTGTGATGGGCTTAGCGTGGCGCGGGCAGGCGTGGCGCGGCGTTTGCTGTCCGTTTAAAGTCGTTAACTTCAAAGGTGCGGCGCGGCGCGCATGTCTAAAGCCGGCGAGCCCGCGCCACCCGTTTTCACTGGCGTGGCGCGGCGTGTGCTTTCGCATACAAATCAACTCGGGCGCAGCGTGGACTTTGATAACACACGCAGTGAGAAGTCGGCTTTCTAGGCATTTCATATCTAGCGTAAACGAGATGATATACCGCCATCTGTCGATAGTCATAAAGTTATTCTAACATTTTCCGTAGTTGCTCTTTACGATAGTCACTAGCATGAAGGTTAGAGAACAGGAGAACGGTCACTACGTACTAAAGCATAGCCCGCCTGTCCTTGATCTTAAGTATTAGTAGTATAATTTTTTTCCATGGCATTGGTGAGAAAATTTTCATGCTCCGTAATTTTGTAATTTTTGACAAAAAGAAACATTAAAAAATGGAGAAATATTTTATTGCGCGTGGATGTGCAAGTGGTTTAGCATCTGATCGGAAAAATAGACTCAAAATGACTTTTATTGACCGAACCTCGAGCGATCGCAGCGCCTCACTTATGGTGTCCATATTTCTGGACACTATTTTCTACGGTGATCGTTCTCCTGTTCTCTAACCTTCATGGTCACTAGACAATTTGGGTTGATGAACTTTTTACGTCACCCCTCGTGTTCAATTTACTGTCTTAAAATATAATTTTAAACCACTACGGGAGGGTCCCACGTATAGTTGTGAACTGTTACGGGCATATGTAGAGGAATAGAGATTTACAGTTCCATTTGACTGTTCCAGAAACTGGTGGTGAAACCAGACCAGCTGATCAAGCGGCGGGGTAAGCTGGGCCTTGTGGGCGTGAATTTGACCGCGGCGGAGGTACGCCGTTGGCTCGGAGACCATTCGGGCAAGGAGCAACAAGTGGGCGCGGCAGTGGGGAAGCTGCGGCGCTTCGTCGTCGAGCCCTTCGTCAAACACGACGATGTGAGTCGATTTTTACTAAAAATACGAGGTCCACCATCAACATCTATATGTATACGTGGTAGAGCCACTCTGCAGCTATATTATGGTTGTAGCGCGAATGGGTCGACTCAATCGGGAGAGGACCACGCTCTTACAGAATACCAGCGTAAAGTAGCAGCTGTGTTTCGTATGGTGAGTGTAGAGATCCGGAGACTCTTTTTTACTGGAATCGAAGCATTCCATCTAAGTTCTCAGGGGTGACAACGCATCTACATTTTGATTTTTAACCTGTTTGCTGTTCTTTCTGAGCTAGCGGGTTAATAGAGGATAAATGTATATGTCTATGGGTCACGGCCTCCACTTCACCAATAGATGGACTGTGTGCTCGTTTGTCACCCTTTTTTATATAAAACAATTCGACCGTTTTTTTTTTTCTTTTTTTAATGTGTGACGCGATATCTTCCCCAAGTGAGTTTTTTTTAAGTTAAATAGTTATACTTCTGGGATGTTCCCATAAACATTTGGAGAAATCCGCCCAAAAACTAGGAAATAAAATTTTTAATATAACATTTAGGCGATTTGTTTTTGTTTACTATTGTAATATTCCTTATTCCACACAAAAGGGTAAAAAATTCGACAGAACTTCAAAATGTGTAATCAATTTTTTTTCGATTACGTTTCTTAAGTCGGCTTTTACCTTTTATTTTAAATATTTATTAAAATTTTATAAAATTTAAATTTGGCATATAAAGACGAAAAAGAAAAAATACTTTCGGCATAACTTTTACGTTAAGTATATTTAATAGTTGGATGACGCAGTTTCCGCATTTTTACTGGCGTTCTATACCCTTCAGACAAAAAAAACCTTAGAGCTTATCTGATATGGATAAGGATTCTTTAGTTAAGTTTGATTAATATTACTTATTATATTATAATTTGTATGCCAATACAACTGAAAAGAAAGGTTTACAAAATGGCCGTAAAACCTGCCATGTTATATGGCGAGGAATGCTGGGTGGCCAAGAGCCATGAAAAAAAGGTGCACACGAATGAAATGAAAATACTACGATAGTCAGCAGGCGTAACGAGGCTCGCAGTGCGCAATGAGTAAATCAGAGGCTCTTTTAAAGTTACGCCCATTGTAGACAAGATGGTCGCGAGTCGTATGCGATGCTATGGGCATGTAATGAGGCGGGATGAAGAACACCCGGTGAGGAAGGCCTTGGCAATTCCAGAGAAAAAGAAAAGCACAGGACCTCCGTTAGCCACGTGGTGGACAACCGTAACCTTGGATCTGGAAGAGCACAGCTTGAAACACAGACAACTCTTGATAGAATATAGTAAAGTAAAGTAAAGTTACAGCCTATATACGTCCCACTGCTGCACGTCCTCCTTTCTGAGAGGGTTTTAGGGCAAGGGAGTGCCCTCCGTGCTGCCCCAATGCGTTTTGGCGAACTTCACATGTCATCGAAATATTTTTTTTTCTTATTCTTCAGATATGCAGGTTTCCTCACGATGTTTTCCTTCACCGTCGAGCACGTGGTAAATCAGCACTTAAAATTGCAATTAACAATTTCATTGGTGCCAGCGGGGATCGAACCCGAGTTACTCGCGTTCTGTTATATTTACAGCGAGCGTTAACCATCTGAGCTACCACGACTCTCTTATATTAAATATTTTAAATATTCCATGATAGAATATCTTGGCGCATAAAAACAAGGAGAGCTGACCCCAAATAAAGAGAAAAAGCAAGGAAGAAGTAGAAGATTATAATTTTTATGTCACTACATATACAATTACCTCAAGGAGGTATAGTAGGGCCACGTTTATTTCTCTTATGCGTAATTGTCATTGCTTTTAGTTTAGAATTATTGCATTGTTTAAATACGTAACTACGCGCTTTAATTTTCAAACATTCTGTTGCAAATTTGTTTTCAGAACGAGGAGATGTACCTTTGCATTCAGTCGGGTCGGCGTTCAGACACCATCTTGTTCCACCACCAGGGCGGCGTGGACGTTGGGGATGTGGACGCAGTCGCCGTCAGGCTCGAGGTGAGATCCATAAAGTGACGATTACTGCTGCACGGTTGAAACCTATTAAAGTCCACTGTTGAATATAAGGCCTTGCCTATATTCAACAGTGCCCTCATAAGGGGGATATTTGTCATAGTTGCCATGTTTGGCAAGTGGTTTGTTAAGACGTTATTAGGAAGACCAGTGCGTGCTGCCAGTGATGACCTACGGAACCGAGACGTGGGCCTTCACTGCTGGCCGTATGAGGACGCTCAAAGTCGCTCAGCGAGCTATGGAGAGGGCTATGCTCGGAGTTTCTCTGCGTGATAAACTGAGAAATGAGGATATCCGCAGTAGAACCAGAGTGACCGACATAGCCCAACGGATTAGTAAGCTGAAGTGGCAATGAGCCGGCCATATAGCTCGAAGAACCGACAACCGTTGGGGAAAAAAATTACGGAGCATGAAAATTTTCTTGCCAATGCCGCGGAGAAAATTTGTACATTTTTCAACTAACTTCACCTACTTGTAGGGCTTCATAAACAGCTAACTTCGCTGCTGCACTACTCGATCGTCATCGCCGCTATACATTCTACAATTTTCAAGGACAGGCGGGCTATGCTTTAGTATAGCTCTACATGATAAAAGTGACGTTTGGTTTATTTTAAATCTTTCACCGATGGTAAACTCTGGTTTCTTTAACGTTACTGTGTGATGTCGACCAAAGAGAATTCGTTACCCAATATCGTCTTGTTAGTGTAGTAAGAGTCGACTATGGGAAATGTCGGAAAATCTTATGGCTATAAATAGATGGCGTTATAACCAACTCGTTTACGTCGAAGATAACATACCCAAGCGTAGACGGCCAGCAGAGTCTAAGATCGCGTCTAGTGCTGTGATTGATAATCTTTCGCAAAGTACCGTAAAACTCGTGATACCATCCATATCATCTGGATGACTGGCGGTCCACCACTGAGCTATTTAAAAGAAGTTTTCTTCCTCGCACAACTTCCTTATGGAATCAACTACCACCAGAGCTTTTTCCGGACCGATACGACTTAGGGACCTTCAAGAAAAAAGCCTACTCCTTTTTAAAAGGCTCGCGACGCATCTGCAATTCCCCTGGTGTTACAGTTGATCATGGGCGGCGGTAGTCACTTAACATCAGGTGAGCCGCATGCTCGTTTGCACCCTCTTCTATATAAAAAAAATTGGCAATTTTGCCATTTTTGAAAGATTATAAATATTCCAATTTTTCAACAAAAAAGGTAACCAACAAACTGAGCGCCAGTGTTAAATGTGACATTATACTTTTTATAGATTTGGTCTTTATTAGTGATTTAAAAATATACTAACATTCAATAGACGAAACACTCAAAAATAGAAAATGGCAAAGTTAACTCTTATGTTGCCATACCGAAAACAATGCTATCAATTAGTTACTAAACTTTCATCCAAAAAATGACATATCTCGAAAAACGTTGCGTTGTCCGTGTTAATCGTAATGTTTGTATATATATATTGTAGTATTTTGAATGAAATCGAACCCAGAATACTGGCCAATGCAAATGACGTCATAAATCGACGCATACTGGTGATTATTTTCAAAACATTGGCCAGTATATTTTTTATTTATTTATTAACATCCAATTTATATCTAACATTACAGGTTTCTATCAAATGCGAGAGATAAAGCACTATTTACGATCCTGTATTGCCTATATTAACTTATAACTAATTATTCATAAAGCAAGTTTTGTGAATTCGTTCAGAGTACAAAAGAATAAATCTGTTTCTGTATCGATTAGGTTTAATATTTGAAACGCTCGCGTCAGGGGTGCCTCTCGCAGTAAGTTAGTGCGACATCTAGGGACGGCCAGTAGGTCTGGCTGACGCCGCCGCCATATATACCTAGCCGGAACACAAATATTAATCTTCTTCAACATATTCTCATTAATAATCCTACCCCTAAGAACCATAAAAATATATGAAACTAGTCTAAGTTCTCTCATTACCCTGAGCTGATTGTATTCCACCATACCCAGAACAAATAATGTGGGATATTGCAGTGGGTAAAAAGGGTACACTCCATATAACTTAAGATACAAATACCTTACAAATTTGTTTTGTACTTCCTCCATCATTAGATCGTACTTCTCATGAGGAGCCCAAATTACTGAATTACACTCCAAATGACTCCTAACTATTTTGTTGTACAAAGCTATAATAGCTTGCACATTTGTGAAACCGTTAACCGTACGTAACGTAAAACCTAGAGTTCTAAAAGCCTTTTTACATGTATCAACAATATGATCCTTAAATTAGCAGAAAATTTTACTCTTAAATACTTGCATTACTCTAGACATAGGTGGCCTGTCAATGTAATATGTATACTCTATATGATATCATACATGGTCTTGACCACTCTTCCTCAATAACTATGAGTATGATTTGTCATTCTCTTCATCGTACACATTTAAATGTTTAAGCTCTGCCATTTTTTGTATTTGAATAAATAAAAACAAATTCTGCCATGCTTCATTCAGCGTACACACAATTAAAAATTGTTTTACTATGGCGGGATATTCGACACAATGTGGCGGCGGCACGCCAGTACAATATGGCTTCTATTAATGACGTCATTTGCATTCGCCGGTATACTGGATATTTTGGAACACAGGCATAATTTGCGTTGGTAATATTGCCAGATTTGACTGTATGACAATTAACGCTAATTCTCCCTACAGAGAACACTGTGGACTTAATAGGGAAAAACTAAATGAAGAAGTTAAAATTTGTACAGCTAGAAAAAAAGTTTAGTCTATGATATGATTTTTATTATTTTTCCAGGTGCCAGTGGACACGTTTCCCTCCGGCGAGGATATCGAGCAACTGCTATTGAAAAATCTCAAATCAGCCACAGTCAAGAGGTAATATTATGTCAATAAAAGTAAAGTAAAGTTACAGCCTATATACGTCCCACAGCTGGGCACAGGCCCCCGCTCATTTCTGAGAGGGTTTTAGGGCAAGGAAGTGTCCGCCGCGCTGCCCCAATGCGTGTTGGTGAACTTCACATGTCTTTCGAAATATTTTTTTTTCTTATCCCTCAGACATGTCAGACATGTATTTCCTCACGATGTTTTCCTTCACCGCCGAGCACGTGGTAAATCAGCACTTAAAATTGCAATTGACAATTTTATTGGCGCCAGCGGGGATCGAACCCGGGTTACTCGCGTTCTGTTATATTTACAGCGAGCGTTAACCATCTGAGCTACCACGGCTAATATGTCAATATTTAACAATAATAAATAAAAGTAAAGAGAAATCTGAAGGCGTTGCTCGTTGGCGCTGCAGTTATATTATGGTTGTAATACGAATTGGTCGGCTCGACTGGGACAGGACCACGCTTTCACAGAATATTAGCGTAAAATGGCAGCTTAATGCTGTTGTGTTTCGTATGGTGAGTGTAGAGATCCGGAGACCTTTTTTTTGTTGGAAACGATGCATTCCATCTTAGTACTCAGGAGTGACAACGCATCTGCGTTTTGATTCTTAATCCAGGATAAATGTAGATGATGGACACAGCATCCACTTACATGGAAACTTTACTGGAAAAACAACGCATGCTTTCATTTTGATTCTTAAGGGGAAATACTAATGTCAAATGGCTTAGCAAGATCCTTCGTTATGCCGAAAATATTGCAGCATTAATTTTGAAATAAATATATGGTAAAGTTGAGGATTAATTTTAATGATTATGTTAGACGAAAACACGATTTCGTAAAATTTTCTCGATAGAAAAAAAAATCCAAAGTTACCTCCAAAATAAACAATAAACCGCTGTTATTCATAAAATACTTTAAATAAGACCATGAAACTTTGCATACTAACTGAACTAACTATAAAGCAGTGCTTATGTTATTTACTTTTTTTAAAATACCATTATTTTCACTGTAAAAAGAAATTACCTAAACTATCGGCGTCTTGAGCTTGATTCCTGTCGCCCCGTTAGTATCGCTTAGGCTTTTGAAGGGAGAAGTTGTGTCGCTTACGATCAGAATATACATTACGCAACAGTACGACGTAAAATTAAAATGGGAAATAACCGTGATAAAAATAAGAAGCGACTGAGTTGGCGTTAAGAAACAGGCATAAATATGATAAACCTAATGAAATAAGTGTCTAACGACCTTTCTACTTGCAGTATTAGTGATTACAAACATATCGGTACATAGCATACGACGCGCGGGGAAGTGGGGGCGAAATTAGAATTTGAGCTGACTTACTCTATCCGCTTAATTGAAGATTAATGTGGATGTCTACAGGCCACAGAATTCACTTATCATCGGGTGGACTGTTTGTTCGTTTGTCACCCAATGCTTTAAAGAAGAAATCTGCCAAGCGTGGCAACTGTGGCAAAATCTCTTATGAGATTCAGCAGTGGACTTCGATAGGCTGTGATGGATGGCAGAAGTGACAACGCATCTGCTTTTTGATTCTTAATCGATGTAGATGTCTACACATCACTTGCCATGTATACTTACCACCATGGAGGTTAGAGATCAGTAGAACGACCGCCGTAGAAAATAGTTTCCCAGAAATATGGACACCATAAGTGAGGCGCTGCGATCTCTAAGTTAGCTCAATAAAAGTCATTTTCAGTCTATTTTCCGATCAAATGCTAAACCACTTGCACATCCACGCACAATAAAATATTTCTTCATTCTTTAATGTTTCTTTTTGTCAAAAATTACAAAATTACGGAGCATGAAAATGTTCTCACCAGCGCCGCGGAAAAAATTTGTACATTATTCAACTAACTTCACCTACTTGTACTCATAAACAACTAACTTCGCAGTCACTACTCCCCGACGTCAGCGCCGCTATACATTCTACAATTTTCAAGGACAGGCGGGCTATGCTTTAGTACGTAGTGATCGTTCTCCTGTTCTCTAACTCCATGCTTACCGTGATACCACACATATCCATTTACCATCAGATGGTATTGTATCACTTGTCACCCTTATTCGATAAAAAACACATTTTTTTACTGGAAACTAAGTATAGATTTAGATGTCTATTAGCCATTAGCCATAGTATATCCACTTACCATCAGGTGAAGTGTGTGCTCCTTTGTCGACCTTCGTCTATAGACAAAAACCATAAAGGCAACAGAGGACGAACCATGCAGGTTAGGGGCAAACAGTCAGCATTCGCTATTAGTATTTTTTTATATAAAATTTAAATAACCTAGTTAAAAAAAGGCGGTGTTCAAAACAACTGTATTTTTTCTTATTTGTTTTACCTCAGAACTTTTTTTTTATAGGTGAACCAATTTTGATGATTGTTTTTTTTTTTTGGTAGCTGGTGCTTCTCATGTGGTCTCATATAAATATGATCAAGATCTGACCAGTAGTATTTGAATTATCCTTAAGGGGATATAGTAAGTCAGCTCAAATTCTAATTTCGCTTCCACTTCTCCGCGCGTCGTATGCTATGTACATCGGTACATAGTATGCTATATACCGACATGTTTGTAATCACTAATACTGTAAGTAGATAGGTCATTAGATACTTATTTCATTAGGTTTATCATATTTATGCCTGTTTCTTAACGCCAACTCAGTCGCTTCTTATTTTTATCACGGTTATTTCCCATTTTAATTTTACGTCGTACTGTTGCGTAATGTATATTCTGATCGTAAGCGACACAACTTCTCCCTTCAAAAGCCTAAGCGATACTAACGGCTAACGGGGAAACAGGAATCAAGCTTCAAGAAGCCTATAGTTTAGGTAATTTCTTTTTACAGTGAAAATAATGGTATTTAAAAAAAAAAGGAAATAACATAAGCACTGCTTAATAGTTAGTTCAGTTAGTATGCAAAGTTTCATGATCTTATATAAAGTATTTTATGAATAACAGCGGTTTATTGTTCAGTTTGGAGGTAACTTTGGATTTTTTTTCTATCGAGAAAATTATACGGAATCGTGTTTTCGTCTAACATAGTCCTTAACATTAATCCTCAACTTTACCATATACTTATTTCAAAATTAATGCTGCTATACTTTCGGCATAACGGAGGATCTTGCTAAGTCATTTGAGTTTATATTTCCCCTTAATAATGAGTATTTAATTGACTTCGACTACATTAGACCGGTAATAAACCTGTTAGGTTATGGGGAACTTAGGCTCTTGATTCGCCCTGCTTAATAACGTACCTTCCTTAACTTCCAGGCTGATAACTACGTTCGTCCTGTCCCTGTACCAAGTGTATGTGGACCTCCACTTCACTTATATGGAGATCAACCCGATCGTCGTGACCGGCGAGAGGATCTATCTTCTGGACTTGGCTGCGAAGCTGGACCAGACGGCGGACTTCATCTGCGCCAAGAATTGGGGGGAGGTGACCTTCCCGCCTCCGTTTGGAAGGGACGCGTATCCGGAGGAAGCTCATATCGCGGACTTGGATGCGAAGAGTGGGGCTAGTTTAAAGGTACAAGGGATTTTTCAATTATCTGTATCTCGGATCATTGATTTTCATAGAGGGGACTTAAAAATTACTTTTGTGGTTCATGATTTATTTTTTTGATTGTTCCATTTTGTTACTACAGCAAAGAACGTCCTGGGAAACAGCAAAAGTGATGGTGCAACTAAGTCCGCATATCATATAGATAAGAGATAAGATTCAGAATGCAGATGCGTTGTTTCCCGTGACGACTAAGATGGAATTCCTCGTTTCCAGTAAAGAGGTCGCCAGTTCTCTACACTCACCATACGAAACACAGCAGCACGCTATTTTACGCTGGTATTTTCTGAGAGCGCGGTTCTTCTCTGGTTCAGCCGACCCGTTCGTGCTACAACCGTGTTAACTCACAACATTAACTTTTTGTCGAAGTATGGTGCTTTCCCAACCTCCCCTCGGCGTAAAGCTTTTTCTATTCCTCTTCCAAAATCCACCGAGTTTAGCCTTCTTTCTCATTTTGACCAATTTCCATACTGCCATTCTTATCTAAAGTAATAAAAGCTGTTGCACATAAACAAATTTCTACTTTTATTTTCAAAACAAGATTTTTTCCTCATATCAGTGTGGATTTCGCCCTGGCACAACAATCGCTCTTTTCGCTGCCGATACAGCTGAAGATTCCTTGGCAGAAAAGTCAATAACAGATTTTTTTGGCCCGACCCGGGATTAGAACCTAGGATCTCATGATCAGCGATCATGTTTACGACCACTACACCAACAAGGTTTCAAGGTACTATGGTCTGGGAAGAGATGCTCTTAAATTTATTATTTCATATTTAAGTAATTAAACGCAATAAGTTGTTATTAACTGTATTAGTTCTTCCGGATCGATAGTAGAAATAGGGTGCCTCAGGGCTCAATACTCGGCCCTTTTCCGTTTCTTGTCTATATTAATGTCTTACCTTACATAATTGCGGATAACTATGACATATATCTTACTAAATGTTGATACTTAATTAACTTTTACACAACGTTAAAACGATAATTACTAATATATGACTGAAGTAAATATGCTATACATCTAAATTAGTAAATTGGTTTAATAATAACGTTGCATTTAAATGGCACTAAAACTAAATGTATGTAAGATTCATAACTTCAAATGTCAAAAATTAAAACGCTAATGTAATTTTAAATACTGAGGAGTTGAGATTTCCATATTGTAATGTCGTATGGTATTCTGCTACGGAGACACGTGACTGACGCTGGAATTGTAATTGGTTTGCGGAGGGCTACAAGATTAATCTTTGATTTAAAATCTAAAGAGTCATCTCAGTTTTAACTTTGACTTCAATACATTAACGATTTTTTTAAATCTATACCAATATCAATCCTAGACATGTACACACTGACCGACCGTACCATCCGTACCGTCCACAGCTGACGGTGCTGAACCGGTCGGGTCGTATTTGGACGATGGTGGCGGGCGGCGGCGCGTCAGTCGCGTACACCGACACCGTGTGCGCGCTCGGCGGCGCCGCGCAGCTCGCCAACTACGGCGAGTACTCCGGCGCGCCCACCGAGAGCCAGACGGCGGACTACGCGCGCACCATCTTCAGCCTCATGTGCCGCGAGAGGCACCCCGACGGCAAGGTTAGTGCAGTGCAACCGGTGGGGCACTAGGTGTCACAACTGACTCACAGACTGACAACTACGGCGAGTACTCCGGGGTTTATGCCCAATAGGTAAGGTCAGTGACAACCTGTGGGGCACTAGGCGAGGTCAATGACATCCAGTGGGACACTTGGTGAAGTCTGTGACAACGCGTGGGGCACAAGATAGTCCATGAACATCTGCAGCCAACTACTTACAAAAAACTCACCTAAGAACTAAGATGGAATGACTCACAGCATGTAATTATGCTCAATTATATTATATTCATATTGAAACAGAAAACGGTGCTGGCACTGCTACTCGTATTTGAACTGCAGAAAGAAGGTCTTCCATCCAAACTATGCTTAAATAGGTAAAGAGATTTTTATATAAACCGGACTTGTTCCAAAAATACAACCACTCTCCTCGACCGGGAAGGACTACTCTCCACTCGTAAACTTTCTGCTAAGGAACGAAACCCCTTTACTGGAAACAAGGCATCGTAGAGCCCTTCAACCATATACCAACGAAAACAATGCTGCTGTTTCGAGATTTCCGTGAACCGGAGACCCTTTTTACTAGAAACGAGGCATTCCATCTCAGTCCTCACGGATGACAACGCATCTTTTGATTCGTAATCGAGGATAAATGTAGATGTCTATGGGCCACAGCAACCACTTACCATCAGGTGGACTGTGTGCTCGGTTGTCACTTTATCCTATAAAAAAGGGCTGACAACGATTCTGCTTTTTTATTCGTAATCTCGGATAAAGTAGATGTACATGTACCACAGCTTCCACTCTAACTTCCATCAGATGAACTGTGTGTTCGTTTGTCACCCCTTTTCTTTATAAAAAAGTCGATAGTGTGATAGCGCAATGAATCAAGCAATATTTTAAAAGGTCCAACTTCAGTGACGTTAAGAGAGTAAAGTTTTCAATAAACCCAATCATTTTTGCATAGTACTTTAGTCTTAACATAAGATTTTGCTTAGTACTTTTGTCTATATGACGCCATCCTGATTTGTTAGCACAATTGATATCACACCATCACATTAAAATAATACTAGTTTTTACGGAATTTATCGCGTATATTTAACTTTTTAAATACTCGACGTTTCGAACGCTTTACAGCACCCATGGTCACGGAGGGACTCAGATGTTCAACGTCCAGATGTCATAGTTAACCCGGTACCAATAATCCGGTTACCATAGATTAAAATTTAACTTTTGTTCCGATCTACACAGTATGAACTTATGGTATCTTGAAGTCTTGCAGTTGTATGCTTGGGTTGGGATTTAATTTTATTTACTATAGGATCCCAAGCGGATGGTAGCACCCAGCCATCTTCTCTATTGAAATTAGGATGTTTTTTGATTTCAGTAGCCTCTCGAATCATCCTTGGAAGGAATCGGTGTTCTTTAACGAGGATTTGTGGTCCTGTACGTGTTCACAGATATCACAGATATGACATGTCGACGTTGAACATCTCAGTCCATCCATGTGACCATGGGTGCTGTAAAGCGCTCGAAACGTCGGGTATTTAAAAAGTTAAATATACGCAATAAAATCCGTAAAAACGAGTATTATTTCAATGTGTAGTGTTCGCGCAAATATATCATTATCGCACCATCACCCCTACCCCCCACAGGTGCTGATCATCGGCGGTGGTATCGCCAACTTCACCAACGTGGCGGACACCTTCCGCGGTATCATCACCGCAATCGAGACTTACAAGGACGCACTCATCCAGTACAACGTCACCATTTTCGTGCGACGTGGTGGCCCCAACTACCAAGAGGGACTCAGGTAACTACTTTAATTTATTAAAGTAGAGTTAGTAAAGTTACAGCCTATATACGTCCCACTGCTGGGCACAGGCCTCCCCTCATTTCTGAGAGGGTTTCAGGGCAAGGAAGTGTCCGCCGCGCTGCCCCAATGCGTGTTGGCGAACTTCACACGTCTTCAAAATATTTTTTACTTATTCCTCAGACATGCAGTTTTCCTCACGTTGTTTTCCTTCACCGCCGAGCACGTGGTAAATCAGCACTTAAAATTGTAATTAACAATTTCATTGATGCCGGCGGGGATCGAACCCGGGTTACTCGCGTTCTGTTATATTTAGAGCAAGCGATTACAGCAAAGATTTAGAACCGTAGTAGCTCAGATGGTTAACATCTGAGCTACCACGGCTCTAAATCTTTAATTTATTAAAGTCATGAACTAATAGCTATACCAAGGTTATTGATTGCAGGGTTAGTTTTTTTTTATGGAATAAGTGTGACAAAGAAGCGCTCAGTCCACTTAATGGTAAGTGGATGATGTGGATCATAGACATCTACATTGATCCTCGGTTAAGAATCAAAATGCAGATGCGTTGTCACTGAGAAACAAATTGATACACCTCGTTTCCTGTAAAAAAGGGTCTCCGGATCTCTACGCTCACCATACGAAACACAGCAGTATTAAGCTGCTATTTTACGTTGGTATTCTGTGAGAGCGTGGTCCTTCCCCGATCGAGCTGACCCATTTGCGCTATAACCATAATATAGCAGCAGTGTGGTCTACCACGTATAAAATTTATTATAATTAATTGTTTTAAATTGTAAGTATTAAGGTTCACTTTCATTTGTATTGCTTAAATTTTGGTGCTTTAAATTTTAAGTCATTCATTTTTATTTGTACGAATAAAACATCGTCGTGAAAAGTAAATTAATTTGTTTTTAATTGAATAAAATCGTTTTTGAATTGCGTTCACTCCATACACGTTTTTATGCAAGCATAGTCCAACTGATACTAAGTGGGTGCTGTGGTCTATTAGATACTTCCATCTATCCTTGATTAAGAATCAGAATGCAAATGTGCCTTCATTTACATGGCAGAACACGCTGCAAGTATGTTATGGTTGTAGCACAAACGGTTCGGGTCGAACGAGGCAGGATCACACTCTCACAGAATACCAGCGTAAAACAGCAGCTTAATGCTGCTGTGTTTGGTATGGTGAGTGTTAAGAATTGGGGACAGTTTTTACTCGTAATGTGGCATTAAACCTTAGTTCCCAGGGGTGACAACGCATCTGCCTTTTGATTCTTAATGGAGGTTAAATGAATATGTCTATATAGGTCACCGCATACAGTTGTCACCAGGTGGACTAATGCCTAAAGGCATTCTCTACCAGTCTACCTTTGGTTTGTGCAGAGAATCTAGTGATGGGTGCAAAACTCAAATAAAAAAAAATTAAAGGTTTAAGGAAAAAATACAAAATTATAATATAATGATAATAAACAAACACATACATATACATTTACATTACTACTTACATGCATACAATATTATTTTATATATATACACAAATACCCACAATAAATACATACACAATAAATAAATATGATATTTTTATACTATACATACTTGAGAATATAACAGTTTCTGAAGTTTTTAAATTTTTTATTATAATCCGAAATCCGATCCGAATATCCGATCCGATATGTTGCTGAGATATTAACTATTGTAGATGATATGTGTAATGATGTAAATCGTACTAGCTAGGCCATTTTCAACTGATCTAGGCTGTGTTCCCAAAATGTTTCCAGTATACTGGCGAATGCAAATGACATCATTAATTGACGCTATATTGTACTGGCGTGCCGCCGCCATATTGTTTTGGATATCCCGTTATATTAACACAATTTTTAATTGTCTGTACGCTGGATGAAGCATGCCAGAATTTGTTTTTATTTAGTTGAATACAAAAAATATAGAATTATTGCCGGTATCTCCATTCTTCACAAATTAATTGAAACAGGATATTAATAACTTTTGGAGCACAAAATGACATAAATTAATCGCCAACACTTTTTCAATGGGTGCGTTTGGCAGAAAAAAGCGCTAGCAAGCGCTTATAAGCGCTAAAATAGTTTTCGGCCAGGACACGATTGCTACTTCAGTAGCGCTGACACAATCCGCCATTTTGCTTATTTAATTTGTTTGTTTTGAAGTAGAGTTTATAAGTTGTTTTGAGCAATATTAGTTTATAGTAATATAATGACATGAATAAACATGTTATACATGTTATTAAAAATTCGTAATTGGTAAGTTTTTAATATGAATACTTTACAAACATATATTTAAATTAGGTTAGGTTCCCCGGTTAAAACTAACATCGTGTCCTGGAGGAAAATAGCTATTTACGATTTAACAGCGCTCACCGCTTACGATCGCCATTTTGCTTACAAGCGCTTGCAAGCGCTTTTTTCTGCCAAACGCACCCAATATGGCGCAAATGTATGATGTCATATACTGGCCAATGTTTTGAAACGAATCACCAGTATGGCATCGATTTATGACGTCATTTGCATTCGCCAGTATACTGGGTTCTATTTCGAACACACCCTTAACTTGAGAAGATTTTATGTACAATAGTAAAGATGTAATCTCAAATCCACTATTTTTTTTTTGTTGTGGATACCCGAACTTGGATTAATTATTTATTTGACCTTATAAGTACTTGTCGCGTAGTGCAATCGAACCCGAAGCGTCCCATCGAAATGTCATTATGATTCTGTTTTGACGCCCACTGGTAATGCTGCAGAGCTAACAGTTCTATCACAGACAGATGCGCGAGGTCGGCCAACGTCTCCGTATCCCGCTGTACGTGTTCGGACCGGAGACGAACATGACGGCGATAGTCGGGCTGGCCCTGGGCCAATCGCCAATACCGCCAGAGCACCAGTTGGACTACGCGCCGAAACAGCTGCCCAAGCCTGAGCCGGCCGTAAGTGGTTTTCTATCAGTTGTATTTTTAACACCATTTAATTGAATACTAACAAGCAAGCTTAAGAGGCAGAAATATCAAATATGCGCTAAGTAGTGGTGGTGTAAAAATATATGCTACTTTATATCATCCCGTGGGTGCCGCAAGAGGCGACAGAGGTAAACAAATCAGGAACTGGGAAGCAACGTCTTCCTAATAACGACTATAAAAAAAACTGCGGTTGCAAACCCGCTTGCCAAGCGTGCCAACTATGGCAAATATCTCCCCTATGAGGTAATCCTTGGGGAAGACCTATGTTCAGTAGTAGACTGCAATAGGCTGTACATTTAACGGTATATATAAAGGTGGGCTTATACGGGCGACTAAAATTGCTCAATTCCAGTCAATACTCGTCAACTATGACGTCACGACTACTTCAAGCAATTCACGGCAACGGCAACAAGCATCAATACTGCGCAATACAATATTGAGCGATATGGCGCAACTTCATCAACTAGGCAATACTGTCCTACACGAGCATTTCAGTATTCGCTCGCTATGGACGACATTGTTCTTGCTGCGGCGGCTTGTAGCGCTTTTTTTATTATTAATCGAAAACAAAAAAGAAAGAAAAAGAATAGGCGTATCTGGGTGCGGTCGTTTTTGGCAGAGGCCGCAATTTTCATTGTGTAAAGAATTAGATGATATATTATTCAAAAATGAATGTCACGAACAGACTTTGAATTACTTTCGAATAAATAAAATTTGAAATAATTTTGCGGCTTGCCGTCTTGCTTCCGCGGGGAGCAAGACGGCAAGCCGCAAAACAAACAAGTGCAAATGAGATATATACAAAAATTGCTAGGAATTTCCAAGCCCATTGGATATTCGTCAATACGTATCTGCGACATTGAGCGATATGAAATATCTGGAGCAATTAGAAGCAATATCGCCATTGCTTTGAAATTGCTCCAGATCGGTCCATTCGTGTCGCCGAGCAATTATTGCCCTCGTGTAAGCGCACCTTAACAAACATTCAGAGCAATTGAGAACATCCTAATTTTTTTGAAGTCGGTTTAAAATTGGACAACTTTCTTTAAGCCAGATATCCGAAAAAGTACTGGAATTTTTCAAGACAGATGTACGAGAACGTACCGAACTTTTTAATGATATTATGCAGTTATATAAATCTATAGCAATACAATGTATATATAGCCTAGTTTCCAGTGCAAAGGGTCTCCGGTTCTCTACATTCACCATACGAAACACAACAGCATTAGGCAGGTCTAATTACAATTATATATGGTATAAGTATACCAAACACATTTTTAAATTTGAATATTTTTACCACAGCCGGCACCGAAGCTGGAACTGCCAGAACTGACACCAGCGCTTCTGGATCTGGTCTGCTCGCAAGCTCCAACCCGTATAGACCTTGGACAACCGTTAACCACGGCTCGCCCACTCTTCACTGATCGGACCAAGGCCATTGTCTGGGGAATGCAGAACAGAGCTATCCAGGTGGGTTTATTTATTGTTACGAGCTTGAGGTTCGTGACAATAAAAATTGCCGATAAAATCACCTAAATTAACACTTTAATTTTCTTTACACAAATTAAAACTTAAAACACTAATAATTAATCACACTAATTCACTTTATTTCGCTCCGAAGTTTCGCTTGTCTCGCCGAATTCAATACTTCCCCGATCGCGTTTTGCAGCGCCTTTATATAGGGCTCTTCCACGAAAACATCCAGAATATTCCAGAATATTCAAGTAAATAGCGCGCCAACCGACCAAGCGCAGAAAGTTCGAGTGTGCGGCTTCCAGAAAGCTTAATTCTTCTGTTCGATACTAGATGGCGCTGTTGCTCTGCCTCGCTCTGTTACCCGACACCAGATGGTCCTAGTGCCAGATGTCAACTTAGCCGCGCAACATTATTTATTTATTTTATTAACAGTATACAATACCGTGTAGTGGCGGTGTGAGAATATCCACTAGCTCGTATCATCCCGTGGGTGTCGTAAGAGGCGACGGAGGGAACCAATCAGAAAATGGGCTGCAGCAGTTTGCTAATAACGGTTAAAAATAAAAAACCGCACGCCAAGCGTGGTAACCATGGCAAATATTCCATGTTCAGCAGTAGACTTTAATAGACTGTAACTGTATGCAATATATCCGGTAATTTCATCATGCTCGAGGTATAGCCCCCTCCCACCCATGTCGTCCATGTGGCTCAAGCGGCGACAGAGGGAATCACAGAAATCGTAATAATAAGACAATGGGTGCGTTCGGCAGAAAAAAGCGCTAGCAAGCGCTCACAAGCGCTAAAATAGTTTTCGGCCAGCACACGATTGCTACATCAGTAGCGCTGACACAATCCGCCATTTTGCTTATTTAATTTGTTTGTTTTGAAGTAGAGTTTATAAGTTGTTTTTTTGCAATATTAGCTTTAAGTAATATAATGACATGAATAAATATATACATGTTATTAAAAAATCATGATTGGTAAGTTTTTAATATGAATACTTCACAAACATATATTTAAATTAGGTTAGGTTCCCCGGTTAAAACTAACTTCGTGTCCTAGAGGAAAATAGCTATTTACGATTTGACAGCGCTTACCGCTTACGATCGCCATTTTGCTTACAAGCGCTTGCTAGCGCTTTTTTCTGCCAAACGCACCCATTAGAAATAAATTAAACACTCGATTACTTCCAAAACCGATGTCGCCGCATCTAGTCGCTACATCGGCAAAGGTAAATGTCATAGTAAAGTATTAATCTAAATGTAAATTAATTAAAACAATGGTAATTAGTATACAATCAACTTACCGATGAAATGTTATGTCTTTATTAGTTGAATTACACGTCCTTGATGAGTTTTTACAACTGATTATGCTGCAGTGCACCATTATAAATGTATAATAAAAAAAAATCACGCATGACGTTCCCCGCGCAACTAAATCACAAAATGGTGAATTATGTTCGTCAACCCATATAAGCGGCGCCAAGGTTACATGTCTATACGACTTCTATTGTCTTCTTATTACGATTTCTATGGAGGGAATGGAAACAGATGGACAGCCACATCTTGCTGATAGTACAAAATGTGAACTGCGCTTCTAACCCTATTGAAAGACTAATAGTCTTATACTCGAGAAATTCGAGTTCTATTCCGTGAGTTCCGTCACCACTCGCTGAGGCATCGCGGTTGACTTATTAGATGCCGACCCTACAAAGATGAGAGGAAGCCTTTGCCCAACTTTGGGACGCATAATGATTACAACTTTAAATAATTCTGTTGATGATTGTTAGGAATTATTTGGGCTTTTCTAACACAAGTATGGTACTTCACTTGCTGAACGAATATTTAGGTCATACAGAGAGCTATGATTGAAGTTTATCTGCGTGATAGAGTCTGTAATGAAGATATCCGCAGTAGAACTAGAGTAATCGACATAAGCTGAAGTTTTTTAAAAATATAGAATACTATATATCTATATATCTACATCTATTCTCGATTAAGAACCAAAATGCTCTAGTAAAAAAGTCTCCGGATCTCTACACTCACCATACGAAACACGAAGTAGTAAAAAAGTAAAAAAAATTACGAGTGGCAATCTCGTTAAAAGAAGCAAAATGTGGGGACAGACCCCCTCCCCCCTCCAATTATATATTTTATAGAATAAAAGTGACAGCACACGTTCCACTTTATGGTAAGTGCTTGTTATGGCCCATAGACACCTACATCTATCTTCAACTAAGAATCAAAATGCAGATGCGTTGTCACCTTTAAGCACTAAGATGGAATGCCTCGTTTCCAATATAAAAATAAATACGTGGTAGAGCCACGTTGCAGCTATATTTGCGTAAGGACCACGCTCTGATAGAATACCAGCGTAAAATAGCAGCTTAATTCTGCGGTGTTTCGTATGGTGAGGCATTCCATTTTAGTTCTTAGCGGTGACAACGCATCTGCGTTTTTGATTCTTAATTGAGGATAAATGTAGATGTCTATGGGCCACAGCATCTACTTACCATCAGGTGGACTGTGTGCTCGTTTGTTACCCTTATTCTATTTTTAAAACAAAGGTTCTCCGGTTCTCTACACTCACCATACGAAACACATAAGCATTAATTGTTACGTTAGTATCTTGTGAGAGCGTGTTCCTTCCCCGGTAGAGCCAACCCATTCGTGCTACAAATAATATAAGCCGCAGCATGGCTCTACCACATAAGATACAAAGTTGCAAAATGGAGAAGCGTTACTACACCTACGTACCTGACAAGTGATTCAGAAAGTTGATTAATGCAAGTGGCTCAGGACCCGTACAGTGTGGTATTCCTTGATGATTGATGAAGATAGGCCTCCATCTTCAGTTGTCGACTTATATTTAAATATAAATAAAACGTTGTAACTATAATTGTTTGGTAAAAAGTGAATGTAATAATTGGTTGTAGGGTATGCTGGACTTCGATTACATCTGTCGCAGAGCTGAACCCTCGGTGGTGGCCGTCGTGTACCCGTTCACTGCGGACCACAAGCAGAAATACTACTTTGGCAACAAGGAGGTCTTCATACCAGGTATGGGATAATAATCAATCTATATTATATGTAATTGCGGGTTTTATCGCGTATATTAACTTTTTCGTGACGTTTCGAGCACTTCACAGCACCCTTGGTTACGGGAGGGGGAACTGAGGTGTTCAACGTTCAAATGTCATAGTTAACTGCGGTTACCACACATTAAAATTATAAATTTTTGTTCCGATCTATACAGTATGAACTTATAATATCTTGAAGTTTTGCAGTTGTATGTTTGGCTTGAGATTTAATTTTATTAATTATGGGATCTCAAGCAGATGGCACCCAGCCATCTTCTTTATTGAAATTTAGATGTTTTTGATTTCAATAGCCTTATAATATTGTTCGTGTTCTGTTGCCGTATAGTGGCGGTATATTTATCTACTACCCCATAGCATCTTGAGGGGAGGGTTGTAACGATATATCGTTCGCCACCGGCCGTTAATATCGATAAAGTATATCGATTATTGATAATAAATAAATATATAATAACTAGACGTCGGATTTTATGCATTTGCATATACAACGGCATATAACTCTCTAAACACGGTGTTAATGCATACTTTAGCCTTTTTTCTCAAACGTGCATATTTCGTTTAGTAGCGGGAGGTGCGTATTCGTATATACAGGTAAAGAAGACGTGTAGGGCACGAGCGCAGTGGCTAACAGAACTGTCCAAATTTACTGACACATTACTGGCACATTACCTGCTTAGCTCACGGATTACATCGCCATGCAGAAGAGAAGGCAAGAGTATGGGAATGTTAACAAATTGATTTCCTCTACAAAAAAGTATTTTTAAAAGCACCATTGCGTGTGCTCTCTTACAAAAAAAATTTTTTCAAATCTAACATTGCCGTCAGAACCTATCATAACTCGATGGGGCACTTGGCTAAAGGCGGTGTTATTATATGCTGAAATGTTTGACCCCATAGAACTGGTAGTTTTTCAATTTGACAGTACGGAGGCTGTTGCAATTAAGTCAAGCAGGCTGGCATTTTTAGACGCATCCATTAAACAGAATAGCGCCCTCATCTAAACACATTTCCACAAGTTACCGGATGCCATAGAAAATTAGGAACAAAAAATCTTCCTCTATTTAAACGAATAGAAATACTGGAAACAATGATTGAACTCGCCAACGCCCTATCTAATTCAATATCAGAACAGATTTGCACAAAGGTGGACGTTCTTTTGCGTAGAAACCTGAGTCTTAAAGACGTAAAGAACATCATTAAAGCCTTTATTAACGGCACGGAAACGGCTCCAGAAATGGCGCCAAAAATTTTAAGTTTCGTCCATTGTCGTCAGTTGATGTAGAGAGGACGTTTTCGGCGTACAAATTGATACTGGGTGACAAACGTTACAAATTTAGGCTCGTTAATTTGGAAAAATAATTGGTATATTGTCATAAAAACTATACATAATTTTATGAACTATTGGTTGTTTTTGTACCGTCTTAAATTGAAATATGTAAAAGTAAAAATGGTTTTTTGATTTTGCATTGTGCATATTTTGGGCATATCAACAGTTTTAAGTGAATATTATTTCGGTCTTTTTTAGTGTATATTTAGCATGCATATTTTGCCACTCTGTTAGTGCATATAATCCGATGTCTAATAATTAATAAGAAAGTTATAATCTGTTAAATTATATTATTGTATGGTTGCGGTTTAAGAACACACACTACCCCATATCTTCCCATGGGTGTCGGGAGAGGCGACAGAGGGAAGTAAATCGGGAAGCGTGTCCCCCTAAAAACGACTACCATGTGTCGCAACTATAGCAAATATAAGGGATATTTGAGGCACATGGGGGAGGCCTGTGTTCAAGTGGACTTTAATAGGTTGTAACGGTAACGGAAAGTAATAAAAAAATTATATTCGATAAGTAATACCGATATCTTTATCGGTATTACAAAATTACCGATACAATATTATCGTTATCGCCAATACTATCATCGACGCGATGGAATTACATATAGTACTTATATATGTGGGAGTCATACCCGCCATTTTCAAAATTGGCATAAGTCACGTCTATGGTTGATATGTGCATGGAGGTTAGAGAGAAGAACTGTCCCTGAATTTCCGTCGGTAAGTAGTATCTGCGAAGTTAGCTGTTTATGAGTACGAGTAGATGAAGTTAGTTGAATAATGTACAAATTTTCTTCGCGGCATTGGTGAGAAAATAATCGTGCTCCGTAATTTTTTAATTTTTGAAAAAAAAAAAAGAAACAATATAAACTGGTGAAATGTTGTGTTGTGCGTATATGTGCAAGAGGTTTAGCATCTGATCAGAAAAATAGACTGAAAATAACTTTATTGAGACAACTTAGCGATCGCAGCGCCTCATTTATTTTGTCCATATTTCTGGGACACTATTTTCTACAGCGATCCTTCTCCTTCTCTCTAACCTCCATGGGTATGTGTGTGCTTCGTCTGTCAGACGCCTTTTTTAGATGCCATGGTCACCATGGTCACACAGACCAGAAATAAACTTCATGGGTAGAGGCTTAGTAAATTACTATTTTAGGGTCGATTAGTTCTAAATATTCACAAATGTAGTGTTTCTTTTTTAAATACGTTGCTTTTTATTTTGCTTTATAATTTTTAATTGATTCACAAAATATCGATATATTGATACAAAATTTGTTGATATAATCGCATATCGACATCTGCTTGGTGTCGATAATATATACTGGATGACCTTTATTACCGTCTGGAAAAAAGTAGGATGTAACGTGTGAACGGAGTAGAAGGCCTTTGGCACTGATCTTTTACAGAAAATAATAACAAAAGTTTTGAATTAAACGTTCGAAAAAAATTTTTTGTATAATTACTTGCCCTTGAGTCTGTAACCCTGCGAAGTGACAAGGTCAAAGATGCCTACTAAATTTATTGTTTTATTGCCGCTCGTATAATAAAGTTAAAGTTAAAAATTTATTTACCTAGTTCGTATAATATCGAAATTCAAATCATATCCATCGTGGACATGATTTGAATTTCGATATTATATTTGTTGTTTGTGAAATATCAGTGCCATGTGCTTCTACTCCATTGACATCGGTGAAGAGAATCATCCAGTATATATAGCGATATTTTTGTAATATTGATAATGTCTAAATTACTTTGTGTATTCTCCTACTTCCCACGAATACGTGGTAGAGCCATGCTGCAGTTATATTACTAAGATTGGTACAGCATTTTTAACTATTTTGAGATGTCAACAGAAAGATGCTGCTCCCATCACATTTTTTCATCCTTCGGTCGCTTCCTCCGACACCTACGAGTAGGAGAATACACAAAGTAATTTAGACATTATCAATATTACAAAAATATCGCTATATATACTGGATGATTCTCTTCACCGATGTCAATGGAGTAGAAGCACATGGCACTGATATTTCACAAATAACAAATATAATATCGAAATTCAAATCATGTCCACGATGTATATGATTTGAATTTCGATATTATACGAACTAGGTAAATAAATTTTTAACTTTAACTTTATTATACGAGCGGCAATAAAACAATAAATTTAGTAGGCATCTTTGACCTTGTCACTTCGCAGGGTTACAGGCTCAAGGGCAAGTAATTATACAAAAAAAAATTTTTCGAACGTTTAATTCAAAACTTTTGTTATTATTTTCTGTAAAATATCAGTGCCAAAGGCCTTCTACTCCGTTCACACGTTACATCCTACTTTTTTCCAGACGGTAATAAAGGTCATCCAGTATATATTATCGACACCAAGCAGATGTCGATATGCGATTATATCAACATATTTTGTATCAATATATCGATATTTTGTGAATCAATTAAAAATTATAAAGCAAAATAAAAAGCAACGTATTTAAAAAAGAAAACACTACATTTGTGAATATTTAGAACTAATCGACCCTAAAATAGTAATTTACTAAGCCTCTACCCATGAAGTTTATTTCTGGTCTGTGTGACCATGGTTATTGCATCTAAAAAAAGGCGTCTGACTGACGAAGCACACACATACCCATGGAGGTTAGAGAGAAGGAGAAGGATCGCTGTAGAAAATAGTGTCCCAGAAATATGGACAAAAGAAATGAGGCGCTGCGATCGCTAAGTTGTCTCAATAAATTATTTTCAGTCTATTTTTCTGATCAGATGCTAAACCTCTTGCACATATACGCACAACACAACATTTCACCAGTTTATATTGTTTCTTTTTTTTTTAAAAAATTAAAAAATTACGGAGCACGATTATTTTCTCACCAATGCCGCGAAGAAAATTTGTACATTATTCAACTAACTTCATCTACTCGTACTTATAAACAGCTAACTTCGCAGATACTACTTACCGACGGAAATTCAGGGACAGTTCTTCTTCTCTCTAACCTCCATGCACATATCAACCATAGACGTGACTTATGCCAATTTTGAAAATGGCGGGTATGACTCCCACATATATAAGTACTATATGTAATTCCATCGCGTCGATGATAGTATTGGCGATATCGATAATATTGTATCGGTAATTTTGTAATACCGATAAAGATATCATCAATCTCTAGTAATATAACTGCAGCATGGCTCTACCACGTTTTATACGTGGTAGAGCCATGCTGCAGTTATATTAGTAGTATAGTTGTAGCACGAATGGGTCGGCTCGACCGGGGAAGGACCACGCTCTCACAGAATACCGGCGTGAAATAGTAGCTTAATGCTGCTGTATTTCGTATGGTGAGTGTAGAGAACCGGAGACCTCTTTACTGGAAACGAGGCATTCCATCTTAGTCCTCACGGGTGACAACGCATCTACATTTTGATTCGTAATCGAGGATAGATGTAGATGTCTGTGGGCCACAGCAACCACTTACCATCAGGTGTACTGTGTGCTCGTTTGTCACCCTATACTATAAAAAAAAAACGAACCCTCCTGTCTAGAATGGCAAATTTGCCAGATGTAACGTGTATACGCTTGTGGAGTTACACTGCATTCTCACTATTTTGTTTTTTATAGGATAAGGCTGACAAACGAGCACACAGTCCACCTGATGGTAAGTGGGTGCTGTGGACCATAGACATCAACATTTAACCTCGATTAAGAATCAAAATGCAGATGTGTTGTCACCCCTGAGGACTTAAATGGAATGCCTCATTTCCAGTAAAACGGGTCTCCCGTTTTCTACACTCATCACACCAAAAAACACAACAGTATCATCTGCTGTTTTACGCTGGTATTCTTTGAGAGCGTGGTCCTGCCCCGGTCGAGCCGACCCAATCCTGCTACAACTATAAAATGGCTTTACCACGTATAAATTTTTGTTAATTTAGATTTTGGTATTAATCTAAAAATGTTATTCTATTCCTCATCAGTTTTCTCGGATATGGACGTGGCGATGAGGAAGCACCAAGAAGCTACGGTTCTGGTGAACTTCGCCTCACTCCGATCCGCCTATGACAGCACCATGCAGGTATAACCCGTTTCATATTCGTTCAGGAAACTAATCTAGTGCGAGATAGCGGTATACTGTCTTCCTGGTGATGAACAGGTATCAAAAGTTCTCGATGGACCAATTTCAGAAACTATTGACCCTTTAAATTGATAGTTGAATACAGGCCATTGTTGGTCATTCTATAAAGTTGCCTATAAATATATTTTTTTCTTACAATAATATTTAACCCTTACTCATACATTATTTTAGCTTGTGATGTGTATTATAAGTTAAAATAACAATTATAATGATTAGGGGTTGGGTGGATGATGTCATTAAGACTTTGTTAATTGTTATGATGGAGGATTTAATTTGTATGTGGGACAGTCCGGTAGAATTGAGAACAGTTAGTCAACTTATTAGTTAAATTTAACGTTAATACAAACATAAACATGAGAGTTGTAAGGCTGTGTTATGATGTACTTGCTAATTTCCTTTTTACCCGACTGCTCCAAAAAGGAGGGTAATGTTTTCGCATATGCGTATGTATATATGCCTATTGCTTTAACACGAACATATAGCATAAACAGTTTGATGGTATTGACATAAAGAATGTCTTTAGATTGGTCATAATTAAGGAAGTGATATACCTAATTTATCTCTCTTTTTTACGCAATTGGGTTTTTCTAATTACTGTATATCGTTTTACCACAGTACACCGTTTTCTTTACATATTATATTATGTTATTACATTAAATTAATTCAAGTAATAAAAAAAACCACAGCTGGACATAAACTTGGGAACTGATAAGGCATAAACACCCCAGCTGTGTCGTGTCCAGTTATTTTCGTGTAGCCTTGTAGAGGCGGTGTAAGAATATCGAGGGTGAATAACCTGAGTTACGTAAGAGGTGCTGGGGAAAACAAAGCAGGAGATTGGTGACAGCGTCTCTCTTACAACTACTCAAAAAACTGCGTTTACTAACCCCCTTACCAAGCATGGTAATTATGGCATATATCACCCTATGAGATAATCTGTAGGGGAGGCTTACCATCAGCAGTAGACTCTAATTTTTATTTATTTATTTATTTAATTCAGAAACTCGTGTGTCTCAGAAAATCCAACACACACACAAGGATAAACTTTACGTACAAAAATATTTAAAAAATTGAATTTTAATATAGCAATAAAAATTAATAGTTATAATTTATAAATTAATAATTAAAATTATAATCATTAAATAATTATAAAGTAATAGTAGCATAAAAACTCAAAGCTTTTAGCAGCTCGTGTTAAGAAATTAAAACAGTATAAACAATAAAATATTAATAATTTTACAATGTTTAAAAAAGAGAAAGGTCCCAATCATAAAATGTCAGACTATGAAATATTTTGTCATATCCATTTATAATGCAATGTCAATAAAAGCTAATTATGTACAATATATGTTGCAACGGTGACCCTGGTTGTTTTATTGTTTATATATATTTTAATAAGTTATATGAGCTGTGGTAGCTCAGATGGTTAAAGCTCGCTGTAAATATAACAGAACGCGAGTAATCCGGGTTCGATCCCCGCCGGCACCAATGAAATTGTTAATTGCAATTTTAAGTGCTGATTTACCACGTGCTCGGCGGTGAAGGAAAACATCGTGAGGAAACCTGCATGTCTGGGAAATAAGAAAAAAAATATTTTGAAGACATGTGAAGTTCGCCAACACGCATTGAGACACTCGCGGCGAACACTCCCTTGCTCTAGAACCCTCTCAGAAATGAGGGGAGTCCTGTGCCCAGCAGTGGGACACGTATATAGGATATAACTTTTAATGCTTTATATTAATTTATCGCAGGCAATGCAACATTCGCAAATCAACACGATCGTCATCATTGCCGAGGGCATCCCGGAGAACATGACACGTAAGATCATCAAGGTGGCGGACGCGAGAGGCGTAAGTACAATTATATTGATTATAGTATTTGAAACGTTATTTAACCCTTCAGCCCCCAAGCGGTCTCAAGAGACCGCGGCCATATTCCGTCAAATCCCTAGCGGTCTCATGAGGTCGCACTCACCCACATTACTTTAACCCATAAAAACTTATTTATAGAGACTACTTTTCTATGAAGAAGTTTGGCATTATATAATCAATATGAAATACTCTATCCTCTAATACAATAAAAAAAACTTATGAATATTTATTTATAATCTACGTTTATTTCGTACGCCATTTTCGCGTGAATGTTATTGTGTTGATTTTTTTGATTTTTCTAGTGTTTTATTAGTGTTTTAGTATAGTGTTTTATTATAAAATTGTAATGATCGTTTTGTGTGAATATAATTTATCTATTTACGTAAATAATTTCGAGTAATATATATTGAATAATTGTGATTTTCACGCTGCCGACATTCGCTTGGTATGTTTTTTTTGTTATTAAATATACAATAAAATCTTTTTGTAATGAAGTAAAACCCGACTTTTGTTTAGACCACAGGATAGAGAATTTGGTAGAGATTTTATAATGTCAAACTTCTTCATAGAAAAGTCGTCTCCAAATATAAAGCCTCATTTACATTCAGCCCCCGCCACTGCTCCTCGCGCTGCCGGCAATACTTCGCTAAATACTGCCGTAGCAGGATCGCGGGAAGTGTGTATTTACACTCTGCCCTACTCACATCACTTTCGGCTTTCGACTATGGCAGACGTCGAAATAATTACAGCGTCTGCGCTGTGTCTTCTTGCAATACAAAATGATGTTATAATTTAAAAATATATCAAGTTCAAAAGAACATAGATAGATAGATAGAAAATTTATTTGCTTAAAAACATGGTACATAAGATCAATGACGTGGAACTGATATGTTTTGCCATAATTGGCATGCAAAAATTATATGAAATACAGCTAATTACACAAACCCAATATTACATTTTAAAATTATTGCATTGCTTAAAAGTTACGTACAAACATTCTTTTTGAATTCAAATATTATGTACAATTAAATACTTATACAGAACCACTCTATTTGAATTCTTATACAGTAAATTGTTCATAAATTATTAATTTTATTATTTTAATAATTACGCTACAGTATAAATTAATTCATAATTTTAATTACAATAAAATTATAATTTAAAAATTATGCAAATATTACCATTTAACTTATTTTACATTTTAATAAATAAATAATCAATATGAGTTACTAATCGTTTTCAGAAATAAAATGTCAATGTTCATTAATTCCTTAAAGTAAATTTTATATTAATATAATAAATTTGACGAATTTATAATTAATTATGTTTATGTATTATGTTATCTCAAAAAGAAAATTCGTATTCGTAGAAGATGATGAATTGTGGTTTTTATCGTTGAAATCCCATATAGTTTTTTCTGATTCCAGCAGTTCTAAAAACTTTATTGTATTTTTATTATTCCGCTCGAAAGGCATTTTGGTAGATCGTACTTATTTAATAACAAGACGGCACGCACGTCCGTTCATCCAGGCGCTTGGCAAGTAGCGATGAGCTGGATGTGAACACTCACTGCCGCTCGCGCTGCCCGTCCTTTGACTTCGACATTTGAGGGATCGTCGGGCAGTGGCAGCCAGCGGCAGCGGCAGTGTCAGCGCGAGTAGCCCGTTTACATACTGCCCTGCCCGCTGCCCTGCTCACTGCCCAGCCCAACAGGGCTGAATGTAAATGGGGCATAAGTTTTAATGGTTTTAAGTGCTGCGAGTGGGTGCGGTCGCATGCGACCGCTAGGGATTTGCCGGGCGCATGCGACTGCATGAGAATTTTAAGGAGCCTGAGGGGTTAAAGGTTTCCAGAGTTCGAATCAAATTGAAGTTAAAGTTTGCAACTAGTTGTGTGCTTGTGTAACTCCGGTGGAAATCATTTGCCTTATCTACTCAAATAAATAAAATTGAAGTGTTTGTTTGTAATGTCAAAATAACAGCCTTTTACTACATGCATATGAAAGTGTTTATATACGGTACTTATAACAAAACAACAATTTTTGAAATGTTTGTCTGTCTGTCTGTTTATTTCAGCTTACTCCGAAACGGCTAGACCAATTTTAACGGGAATGTTACTGGCAGATAGCTGATGTTATAAGGAGTAACTTAGACAGCTTTTATTTAAAAAAAAGAATAAGGTTACCGGGCAAAAAAATTAAACTCATGAAATTCAATCGTTAAAGGGTATGTTCCGAAACGTTTCCAGTATACTGCCGAATACAAATAACGTCATCAATTGACGCCATATTGTACTGGCGTGCCGCCACCATATTGTGTCAGATATTCGGCCATATGAAAACAATTTTTAATTGTGTGTACGCTGAATGAAGCATGCCAGAATTTGTTTTTATTTATTCAAACACAAAAAATTATAGAATAATTACTGGTATCTTCATTAGGAGGATATAATGATTTTTGGAGCACAAAATGACAAAATAATCGGTAACACTTTACCAATATGGCGCAAATGTATGACGTCATATACTGTCCTATCTTTTGGAACGAATCACCAGTATGGCGTCGATTCATGACTTCATTTGCATTGGACAGTACACTGGGTTCTATTTTGGAACATACCCTTTAATTCTACACGGACGAATTCGCGGGGTACAGCTAGTGAAGATAAAGATCAACTATCTGATTGAAAATTAAGACCTCAATAAAACGATTTTAACTTGGGTGTCTCTTGGGTTACCTAACTGTAATACACTTAACCAATGATGTGATATCAAATAATATTTACCAACTGGTGCTAAAGTTTTTACACCCGAGCCTTGGAAAGAGATTTTTGACTACAATCGGCTATCTTCCTCTTTGTAGAGCGTTGTCTCTGCATGTTAAATATATGACATAGAGTTTTAAGTTTTATAAAGATATTTGAGTTAATTTTTTTTTATAGAGTAGTGTGACAAACAAGCACACAGTCCGCCTAATGGTAAGTGATTCTATGATTCATAGACATCTACACCTATCCTCGATTAAGAATCAAAATGCAGATGTGTTTTCAACCCTGAAGATTGAGATGGAATGCCTCGTTTTCAGTAAAATGTATCTCCGGTTCTCTACACTCGCCATACGAAACAAGCAGTATTAAGCTGCTATTTTACACTAGTGTACTGTGAGAGCGTTGTCCTTCCCCGGTCAAGCCAACCCATTCGTGCTACAACCATAATATATCTGTAGTGTGTCTCTACCACGTATATTGTTACACATGTGACCGTGGTAGGAAATGGGGAGATCTCCCGCCGGGCAAGGTGTTCTGCCCGGGGAGCGGCCAACACTCCGTGTGATAGTTCGGAGATGTTCTATATATGCTGTTTATGATTCGGAATGTTGATAGCGCGATTTAGGCTTGGGTGTGTTTCGGTGTGCTAGTGGCGCGACGTCAGCGCCGCTACATCACCCCCTGCTCAGACCGAAGGTCGATAGTGCAGCCTCGTTGCCGACGAATGTGCAAGTGCCAGGAGATTGCCTTGTAGTCTGCGGTGAGTCGAGAAGAAGGCAAGTAATCTGCGAGAGTGCCATGAAGCAGAGGCGAGCAGTAAGGCTCAGAGCCGTGCCGAACACTGTATGGCGCAGAGAGTAGCTTGAAGGAACAGGAAGCATTATTATTCCAGTGCTGCGATGAACCTTGTGAAGCTAGATGGCTTGCAGGATATGAAGACTGCAGACGATATCTGCTCGAGAGCGAATGGGTGGGGTATTCTATGACGATGATAAAGCTTGAAGTTTCCGAAGGTTGTTTGGTTGCCGTTTCCCATTGCTGTATTGTTGGAGAACTGCTCCTGCTGAGAGATCGGATGCGTCGCTGAAGATAGCAAGGGTTGCTTCGTGTGATGGGTGAGCGAGTAAAGCTGCATTTTGGATCGCAATTTTACAAGCTTCAAATGCCTTCGTGGCTTCATCGTTCCATTCGATTGACGTTTTATCTTTTTTCTTCGTGTTGTGAAGGTAGGCGTGAAGTGGTGCTTGGATTTCAGCGGCTTTAGGTATGTGTTCTCTGTAAAAATTTATCATCCCAAGAAAACGCCTTAGCTCTTCGATAGTTTTAGGTTTTGCATAATCGATGATTGCTCTGACTTTTTCGGCAGGCGGTTTTATTCCTTCCTTGCTGACGGTGAAACCAAGAAATTGAACTTCTTGCTGTCCAAATATGCATTTCGAAGGGTTGATTGTGATTCCGTTGTCTTCTAATCGCTGTAGCACGGTGCGTAGATGGGTTTCGTGCGTTTCTTTATCAGGGCTTGCAACAAGGAGATCATCAATAAATGCGAAAACGAAATCCAGTCCATGAAGTACTTCGTGTATGAATCTTTGGAAAGTTTGACCTCCGTTCTTTAATCCTGGGATCATTCTTGGGAATTCGAATAATCCCATTGGGGTAATTATTGCTGTCTTCTCTATGTCTTCATCGCGGACTCTTATTTGTTGGTAAGCTCGGTTGAGATCGATGGTGGAGAATATAGTCTTGTCTGGTAGTTGATGAGTGAAATCCCTGACTCGCGGTATTGGGTAGCGGTCAGGAGTGGTAATAGAATTCAGTCTTCTGTAATCTCCACAAACTCGTAATTCTCCGTTCTTCTTCGGTACAATGTGAAGTGGTGATGACCAAGGGCTTTTGCTTGGACGGCATATTCCTTGCTCAATCATGTTTTCGAATTCCTTTCGAACTTGCTCGTATAGGTGTGGTGCGATTGGACGTGCACGACAATGAAGTGGTGGTCCATTGGTGTCGATGAAATGCTCAACGTCGTTCTTCGGTGTTAATTTCATTGAAGTTATTCTTGTGATACCAGGGTATTCTTCGAGGATCTTGTGATACGGTTGTTGCACATCTATGCTTCTTATTGTGGGCAGATTGGTTGCTTGTACAAAAGACTGAGATGCAAGATTGGTTTTCCCGTCGATGATTCTTCTATTTTTGATGTCGACGACCAACTGGTGATGTTGAAGAAAATCAGCACCGATGATTGGTTTGCTGACTTTAGCGACGATAAATCTCCATTTGAATGGTCGGCGTAGATTAAAATCAAGTTCCATTGTTTTTTCTCCATATGTAGGAATAACCGTATTGTTTGCTGCATAGAGTTGAAAATCTAGTGGCTTCAACTTCTGTCCTTGCTTCGGCGGTAACACTGAGATATTTGCTCCGGTGTCGATAAGGAAAGTAAGCTTGCTTTTTTTATCGGTGACGAAAAGACGGTAGGACTTTGCTGTTACGCTGGATCCCGTCGCATCGAGCGTACTAGTTAGTTTTCCGTATTCGTATTTTCATTTTTGAATGTACACGGTGCTGTGCATTTTCTTGCCTCGACCCCGAAACGTCGATGATAGTAGCAGTAAGGGGATCTTGATGTTGAGCTTATTCGACTTCTACTTGCAGAGCGGTTGCGACGAAAAGAAACTGGGTATCATTGGCCTTTGTTGAAGTGCCTTCGATGATCGATATGTGTGAGCTACTGCTGTTTTCGATCATCTTGTCCGCCAGGAGTGCCAGTTCGTCGAGCTTCGTCTGCGTGCTGAATGTTTCGCTGACTGCTATTACCGATCGAATATGTGGTGGTAGATGGTTTACCCACATTAGCCGTAGTGTTGAATCCGGAACTTTATCTCGCGCCAAAGTACGCATTTTGCGTAGGAGTTGTGTGGGTTTCTGGTCTCCAAGTTCTATTTCTGATAGAAGTTTTTGTAGCTGTCGACTGTCGGATTCTTCATATGCGGAGATCAGCCGATCCTTCAGTGAATTATACTGGTCGACTGCTGGTGGGTTGTACAACAGGTCCGCAATTTGTTCGATGTCTTGTTTCTCAAGTTGGGCTATCACCATCTGTGCTAATTGCGCTTGGCTCTTCTTTAAACCATTCGTTGCGGCTTCAAAACTGACGAACCAAAGTCGTGGTTTGTCTCTCCAAAACGGTGGTATTCTTAACGATAGAGATATACCGGCGATTTCTGGTTCCTTTACCGGGTTTGATGTATATGTGTTTGCCTCCTGCTCCATAATGACGGCTTGATTACACTGATTTTATATAAACTGAAGTCTTCCTTCTCGGTGTTCGTACGGGTTTCCTTCGCGGTGTTCGTGCAATAGTAGTGGTACGTCGCAGGGTGTTTCTTCTTGGTGTTCGTACCGGATCTTCCCCCCTCGGTGTTCGTACGGGGTCACCACTGTAATAGTGGAGACGAACTGTCCACTATTAACAGACTCCGAGTGGTTTTCTTTAAGGTGGAGAAATGAAACTACTGTTTATGTTTATGAATGTACTGTCGAATGGGATTCGGAATGGAATATATTTTGCATCAACCTTGCCTATATTTATATGGCTGGCTCACTATTGATTTGCCAATGGTAACAATTAATATTTTGCCTAGCCAATTATATTGCTTATTTTATGACCAATGAAAACTATTTAAAATATACAATTATCTACGTTTCGTTTCCCGGCGTGAGACTTGTTTGTTGTTCACGAAGCTACGTCGCTGGACCGGGCTATATAAGACATGCAGATCGGTGCGCACGCGTAGTCGGCGGGCGGCGGCGGTGTGGAATACAGCTCCGGAACAGCAAGAGGAAACGAACTGCGGCGTTGAAGAAACGGCTCACCATTGGTCGACGGATACGTGACGATAGCGGCGTGTGAAGTCGGTGTGGCGCTGAATGATATTTGCGGCTGCTTCTTGTTTCTTTATAAGAACGTCAAATTATCTATATACAGTCCGCAGTATCTCAGTAGCCAAGAATAATTAGGAAATAAAATGTTTTTTTATTTATTCTCGCCTTCCGCGTTATGGTAGCAGCGGAGTATATATTATTTATTCCCGTTTCGGTTTGATTAATCTGGCTGCTACATCACTCTCCCCCCAGCGAAAGCGTACCGGAGGCTTGACGACTCGCCCGTATTTCGTAGTTTTTAAAATAGGTTTCAACTGGGTTGATGTAGATGATGAAGTTTCAAGCTTCCTCGCTGGTGGTTTTGATGATGATGATGAATCCTCTGCAGTATCCTCGTTAATAATATAGGCAGGCTTTAGTCGGTCGATCGATATAATCGTAGATTTCCTTCCGGGTATTTGTAGTTTAAAAGTCTTGCTATTTCTCTCTAATACTTTATACGGTCCATCGTAGGTAGGTTGAAATTGTTTTTTCATTGCGTCGTTTCTTACAAAAACTTGTTTGCATGTTTTCAAATCTTGGTGAATGAATACTGATTTATTATTTCTGTGTGATTGCATTTCGGTGCATTTCAACGATAAGGCTTTGTTAATTGATTCTCGAAGTTTAGTTACGAAATCGTAATCCATTTCTTGTTTGCTTGACGCTGCTGAACTGAAGAAGTCACACGGCAGCCTTATGCTGCAGCCGTAGGTTAGCTGAGCGGCGCTAAGACTAGTGTCTGCACGCGGTGTTGCTCGTAGTCCGAGTAGCACTGTAGGTAGCTCATCAAACCACTTGGATATTTTTCGAAGAAGTTCTCCGATACTCAACGTAACTACAGTACATTCGACCGAGAGCTACTCGCTATTTACTCCGTGTGATAGTTCGGAGATGTTCTATATATACTGTTTATGATTCGGAATGTTGATAGCGCGATTTAGGCTTGGGTGTGTTTCGGTGTGCTAGTGGCGCGACGTCAGCGCCGCTACACACACAAACAACGTAAAATTACAAACAACATTATTGATTGTATTCAAGCTATTAATAATTGCACTGTAAGTACTTGGTGCGACAGAGACGTCGCTATACAAAAATAATTATTGCCGATAGGCTTTGAAAACCTGATGTGTATCTTTAGAGGTTGTACTACAATTCAATTCATTTTAAACCTTATGTGCTTAATTTAAAGTACATTTTGAAATGAACACTTGCTATTCCCAGGTGAACATAATAGGACCGGCTACCGTGGGTGGAATCAAACCCGGCTGCTTCAAAATAGGAAACACTGCCGGCATGATCGATAACATAATAGACAGCAAGCTGTACCGGCCCGGCAGGTGAGTTTTCCAACCTCCATTACCAAAGTTTTAACGTGGTTGAACCACGTTGCGTTCGTGCTGCCGTTATATTTCATTTTATTTCACTCTTTCATTTTATTAAATTACATAAATTGCTTCATGGGATGGGTATTACATAGTTTCCACGTTTGTTTGCGAGATTAAGACCACAGTTTTTTTTATTACTTTAAGTGCATATCACAAAGATACTGTACCTATCTCCAATCATTCATACTTCAAAACATAATAGCATGGCATTGAGCTGCTATTTCACGCTGGTAATCTGTGAGAGCATGGTCCCTCTCCGGTCGAGCTGGCTCATTCGTGCTGCAACTATTATATCGATTCAAAGCTGCAGCGTGGCTCTACCACGTAAACGTCGCGTGGTGGTCGAAATTCGACCTTAATGCAATAAATTGTAAGTTTGTACACTAAGCATGGTATATTTCACTTTCAACTCTCAGCAATCGAACTATATTACTAGCGTATAGAACAGACACCCCGAACCAAAAGTTTGCTTCATTTTGGTAAGAGTTAGAGCTAAAGTTCGCTGCAGCGTTAAAATAATAGTTACGTCGTCTAACCAAACTATTAAAACATGCAGCGCTAGTTTGCATTAGAGATTAGTTTTCTCGCGACGAAAACGTCATAAGCGCCAGGAATTTCATAGCGCTTACGCGTATCGTTGAACGTAATGTACAACAAGTCGCTCCCATAGATTTTACATTTTGCCCGATTCTCGTGAGCATTGTAACAACGCGTAAAACTTTAAATCAAAGAGCTTTAAACGTTTTAATGTCTACTTACCAATGAAATGTTTAACGATCACTTTTTTTGATGTTCTGGAGTGTTTACTGCAGTCTTTAAGAACACAACCAGGCATTTTGGAGTTGTTATTTATGCGCAGCGAACACGACTCGCCTGTGCGGGCGCTGGACGCTCACTAAACAGTTACGGTACAGTGTACCGCAAAGCGTGGCGCAAAATCATGTAAGGCGTTGTCTTCTCTATACGTAGTAGTAATACCTCTGTGCTCTCAGCATATACGTATAGTCTAAACTAACTGCACATTAAACCTATAAATCTATGGCGAGAATATCTAATCCGTGCTTTGTAGTAATAGTGTTTTGTGATTATGTGTTTGACATTGGCGGTATGAACGTGAACGTTACATAAGAACGGATATACATAATATAGGAAGGGAATAAAGGAATAAATTTTTACGTGGTAGAGCCATGCTGCAGCTATATTAATTATAGTTGTAGCACGAATGGGTCAGCTCGACCGGGGAAGGACCACGCTCTCACAGAATACCAGCGTCAAATAGCAGCTTAATGCTGCTGTGTTTCGTATGGTGAGTGTAGAGAACCGGAGACCCTTTTTACTGGAAACGAGGCATTCCATCTTAGTCCTCACGGGTGACAACGCATCTGCATTTTGATTCGCAAAGAGGATAGATGTAGATGTCTATGGGCCACAGCAACCACTTACCATCAGGTAGACTATGTGCTCGCTTGTCACCCATTTCCTATAAAAAAAATACAAGAAATATAAACAAAATTTTTAATTAAATACATAAATTAAAATCTATCGAAATTCAAATCATATCCACTCTACTTTACGAACGGCAATAAAACGATCAATTTTGTAGGAATCTTTGACCGTAGGAGGTATATATATATAGAGATCTCTTTACGGTAAATGTTGATCAGACGCGACTTCACGCGAGCACTTTGTTGATCCGAAAACGCATGTTGATCCGGCGCCTTTTGTTGATCCAATATGCATCTCTGGTAACTAATGTGGCTCCGACCGGATCAACATCTGCACTCACGAGACTGTTTGCTAGCGTTGGCCAAAGTTGATCCGATATACAAATCCACCTTGCGATGGTTACGGAAAATGTTGATCCGATGTAATGAGCCAATCAGAGCGCAGCAAACTATAAGATAAACGATCGGATTGGCTGAATGCATTCGCGACGTTGCCGTTTCGTATCTTTGGCGGTACAAGCTACAGATTAAATACGTGTTATGTAATGCATTCAGGGTGCTGTTTGGTCTACCTCGTTATTGTAATGCGCCGAGTATATTCGCGGATGCGCGTGTGGATTGTTTCTACACCACCATGCGTAAACGATGCACATCCCTGGTGCGCATGGTGCGGGCCAGTTTCAATGGTATCCTGAGGGCATTTTCTGACAGGTTTGAGGCCAGTACCTGAACCATTGTCATATGGTGCACGTGCTGACTAATCGGGCCTGTCTTATATATAGTTTTAAAAAAATTAGGTAAAAGTTTTAAGTTTTACGAAAATTAGTTTTAAGATTTGTATTTATTACTAACATCTATGATCCTTGTGGTCGAAATAAACGACTTTTTTTTAACGAATTACTCGACAACGCCCCTTCTTGTAGCGAAGTGGTGGCAACGGCGACATAAGGTATTCGTCTGAGTGCGTGTTTGCGTGCGTGTGTGTTTGTGTATGTATGTGTGTGTGTGTGTGTGTGTGTGTGTGTGTGTGTGTGTGTGTGTGTGTGTGTGTGTGTTTGTGTGCATATGTGTGTGTATGTGTTCGTGTATGTGTGCGTGTATGTGTGTGTGTGTGTGTGTGTGTGTGTGTGTATGTGTGTGTGTATGTGTGTGTGTTTACCATAAACCAGTTAACATGTTTTCTACATCTTCATAATCAAGATTTTTAAGGACGCGTTTACAAAATTGATAAGTATAGAATCGAACTATTACATGAGATATTATCATGAGACCTTACCTCCGGTCTTGATGTAGTGACCTCAAAATGTAATTCGGGATTACTTGTGGAACTCCTGGACTAGTAGAACTGGGTGTGCTGATTTTGGACTCGTTTTGTTAGTTATGATGAGTCCTTACCTCCGGACTTGCTGAAGTGACCTGAGGGTGTACTTCGGTATCTAACACTGTAACACCTGGACTAGTAGAGCTAGGTATGCCGTGTTTGGGTTTGTTTTGTTAGTTATGATGAAACCGTCACAAAACAAAATTTCTTTTCACTTTGTCTCTAGTACCAATATGTATCCAAGCTGATATTCGAAAAATGAATAACCTCGTAGTAACATCTTTAGGGGCAGTATCGATATCCACTTACCAGCCACACTGTTTTTCGCTGTAACTAACTGTCTTTTATATGAGCCTCACTTGCCCTCACGCGGTAACCACTTTACTGCACTCCAGTGCACCCACCAACACCTCTGCCACCTACGCCTCCACATCTACCACCGCACCCCTCTCTAAGCTTTCGTTCTCTACCTCCGCTACCTACGCCACCACCATAAACTCTGCTCCATCCGCCTCAACAATTAACTCCGCTCCCTCCGCCGCCACCACCACGCGCCGTCACTATTCTTTCCGCCTCCAACACAATTCCCCGTTTCCACTATCTCCGACTTCACCACAAATTCCTCTCCTCCGCCTTCACCACATACTACGCTGCATTCACCTCCGCCTCCACATCTCCATTCTCCGCCTCCGATTTCTGGGCACACACACACACACACACACACACACACACACACACACACACACACACACACACACACATACACACTCAAACACGCACTCAGACGAACACACACGCACGCACCCATACCGCACGCACGCACGCACATGCACGCACGCACGTACGCACACACACACACACACATAAACACACACAAATACACACACACATACAAACACACGCGCGGGTTCACAAACATACACGCACGCGCGCACACATACACATAAGCGCACGCGTTCGCACACACACACACACACACACACACACACACACACACACACACACACCCGCACATACACTCACACACACGCGTGCGCACGAACGAACACACATACACGCACAAGCGCATACACAAACACAAAAAAACAGTGGACACACGCATGCACACACGCACACACTCGAACCCACACACAAAAAGAAAACACACGCGCAACCGCACACACACACACACACACACACACACACACACACACACACACACACACACACACACATACACACACACATACACACACACATACACACACACGAACAACAGTTAACACACGCACGCACACACTCACACACACACACGTACTAAAACACAACAGTGCACACACACACACACACACACACACACACACACACTCGAGTGACAAATTAATTTGTAATAAAGTACTATCAATCATCTTCTAATTGATCTATGACAAATGAATAAAATAACACAAATTCACTCACACGATAACAAAAACTCGAACAAACGTCTTTCCACAATAAAACCTGCCAAAGTTTGATCCACAAAATCAGCAGATAACGTATTTTCTTACCTTATTACTATAACGAAGAAGCCTACTGGGTTCTCTGTCACACACAGATCGCGACGTTGCCGCTTCGTGTTCGAGTACCTATTCGTCAATTATGGCTCCGGATCCACTTAGTCTAAGTAAATGTCGCATATAAATCAAATATACTCTGGATCTAAAAAATCATATTCAGTATGATTTTTTTCGACCGTTTATAGATCAACAAATGTTGGTCAAATCGCTGACGAGTATATTGAAATCCTGTTAGTGCAGATCCACCGACGTCACACGCGCATCAAGAATGGATCAAAGTATATCAGTTTGTGCGACGAGGAGCTGAGCAAACACGTCAAATAGGTGGATCAACAATTGTTCTAACTTCTCACTGGATCAACATTTACCTTGAAAGGATGATTATATATATATATATATATATATATATATATATATATATATATATATATATATATATAAATCTATTCTATTAAATACATATATATAACTCTATTTAATACTATATATATATATATATATATATATATTAAACCTGTTATTGTTTGTATCGTTTTCAGTGTTGCCTACGTCTCGCGCTCCGGTGGTATGAGTAACGAACTGAACAACATCTTGTCGAAGGAGGCGGACGGAGTGTGCGAAGGTGTTGCCATCGGCGGGGACCGGTACCCTGGCACCACGTTCCTCGACCATCTGTTAAGGTGAGCCGACTAACCACTTAACGTACTGTACCATGTTGAAATTCATGTCTATACCTACATATAGTGTCCTCTAGACCGAATTTCGGTAACGGCGGCCGGTCAAAACTGACACTAGCCATCTGTGCAGGACAGGATTATAATGCCCAAGCAGTGGCGAAGCCTCTATACAAGCCCAGAAGCCCGGCTTGCCTCATTAAGATGAATCAATCAATTATATCAAGTAATAAAATCACTCGTAAACTGTTTCAAACTATTTCAAATTTCCCGCGCACTCTGATCGACCTCGTAGCCTTACGAATACTGCTGTCATACATATAAGGAGAGTTGAATTGAGCGATTGGTTTTCTCCCTCGCACGCGTGGGCTTTTTACCGGGCTTTCGAGAAGGCGATCGCTCCCTTTCTAACTTGTGGCAAAATGTTCTCTATAATGAAATCTTATAATGAAATATAACTACGAAATGTTTATATAGCAATTACTATTGAGCCACAAGCCTGGCTTTGCCCTGAAGTTGTTTAGGGGAGTGCGTTAGCGACTAGCGAATGGGGTGCGGGCCATTCGTATGCAAGTTCACTTCACATTTCAATGTTTATGTTTGTTTTTATTGTGTTTGTTAAAAGTTTATGCTTTTTCAAAGATTTTCAGTGAAAATGGGAGGATAATAGTGTTCATTGTGATGAATATAAGTGTGTTGAAGTGCTAATCGGCGAGGAAAAGGTAAAATCTTTAAAAATGAAATTTAATATTCAATAAACATTTCTTCATACTTTAAATATAGGTACAGGACTCTTTAGTATTAAAGTTTAATTAAGTTAGGCGTATTTAAAGGTTTAATAACTCAATATTTATATTACCATATGAATTAAAAATATCATTTTGAATGGCAGCATAAAATATGAGACACCTAGCGTTAACGTGAAGCCCAAATTTTAATGTAAAAAATCAAAAGAATACAGAAGAATGTATTGAGGTTTTTAAAGAATTTTCATTCAATTTTTAGTATATAAAATTTTAATAGCGCCATCTACTTAATTCTATAGGTAAAGTCATTTTATCGAACGAAAATTGGTTGATTCTCACGATGGTACCTAAAGATTACGCTAGATGGCACAAATACGCTATCGGCTAATTTAATATTTATATTACCATATGAGTTTAAAAATATAATTTTGTACGGTTTATTATGAATTGAATATAATTTTGTACGGTTTATTATAAATTGAAAATGAAAATTTATGGTAAAAAATTAGCAAAGGATTATCTTCTCATTATAACTGTCTAATTCCTGTCGTAATCTGTTTTTTATGCATATAACTTAAACAAAATAATTTCGAGGTTTCACATCTGCCAGGCGTCCCTTTTTTAACTTTGTACATAGTTTGTTTGTATTTTGTTCATGCTTTTCTTTTGTTCATGTATTGTATTGTTTGTAAATATCTCAAGGAAACCCAAACGGCTCTTTTCAATACCACAGAAGGTGTGCAATTGCATATGTCATACAATCTGTCTAGCAGTAGTATGCTTTCTGTGTGCTTTGTTAAACACGTCCTTGACAGCACTGAATATGAAGCTAAAGAGTGGAGACAGCTCAAGATTGGTGTATTTTTATTAAACTGCTAAAAACAACAAAACCATATCTTGGGCTTGCCCTAGTTTGGAGCCCTAGCTTCGCCACTGTGCGCAAGTTTATGCGCAAGCACAGGTACACTCTCTATGCCCTCACTCTCATAGTCAGATGGGACGGTAAACCGACACGACCGGAGAGAGATCAGGCGCAGGACCAACGGCTTTACGTGCTTTCTGAGGCACGAGCGGAGAAACCGTCAACTTCCTGACTCAGGGGATGCTTCTTATAATTTCTTGACAGTAATAACCATTAACTGATTTTGGTTCGATTCGGGATTTGAACACAGGACCTCACAATCAACAACCTCGCTTACCACCACTGGACAACGAGGCAGCCATATTTGTACAAACGTATAAATAATATCAATAGTGCTCGTTTGTTACATCGAATAATTGACTTTTTGTTTGAAGCTGAAGGGACTTTTTTAATTCTGTCTGTTTGGGCAAATTTTCCGAACTGATGAACAGAACACAGTAATGCGACTTCACGAACTAATAGAGAGAGCAATGCCACGAGTGAACTAAGCTATATTTTATCCATATAAACTTGTTTTTTCTCTGTAAATAACGCTATATTATTAGATACTAATCAGAAGTGGTTATTATATGTTGCTAGTTACTAATAAATCATATTATATATGCTACGTCGAATTATAAATGACTTTCAATTTAGGTTATTTGAAATACATATCCTTACATTATATGTTATGTGAAGTATTCAATTGTAAATTACATATTGAAAATCATTTTTTTAAAACAATAGTCCCCTTGGATTTCTTCTCGGTTCATCCCAGGACAGAGATTTATTCCGAACCAGTGGTAAAAATATAAAAATACTTTAATAATTAATTAAATTATTACTTATTGTATTCTATATATATATATATATATATATATATATATATATATATATATATATATATATATACAACATGTAACATAATTAACACACTTTGAGAAAGTGGTTTGTTCAGAATCGTTTACTGAATCGATTCCTATCATTTTTAATATAGTTAATTTTTTATCCCAAAAATAATTAAAACTACGTAAATTACAGTCACACTAAATCTGTACAGTCACAACAAACTGAAATGGACCGTAACTTGAGGCAATAAGACTTTTAAGAGTGCAGTTTTATTTGTATTATTATTAATTCTGTCATTCAATAAAAATAAAGAAAAATGAACTTTATTTCAAGCACGCTAAAGTCTTTGCGTTCTTGGATTTGTACTGTAACCACAACATTCTTTCGGATTTAGTATAACTAATTTGATAAATAATCAGTGCATAAAAATGTTTCACTAAAAATTCAGTGTATGTATTATGATTATAACATAATATACTAATTGGGGTGTCTGAGGGTGTGCGTTAATTACGTTACATATTGTATATATATATATATATATATATATATATATATATATATATATATATATATAATTTGAAGTAGGTATTTGTATGTCAAAATAACAGCTTTTTACTAAATGCATATGAAATGATATTAATAACAAGACAATTTTTAAAAAAATATTTTCTGTCTGTATGTTCTGATTTAGGTTCTCTCTGGAATGGCTGGACCGGATTGACGGGACATTCGTTGACAGAGAGCTGATGTTATAAGGAGTAACTTAGGCTACTGTTATTTTAGAAAAATTTTTGTTAATTAGAGTTTCGCGCAAAACAATTTAACCCCATATAAAGCTACCGTCTTTCTATATATACGAGTACTAATAAAATAACTAAGTCTATACATAAAATTGGAATTTTCTAATTCATTACAAGTTTCTTACATGTTGTCGCAGGTACGAAGCCGACCCTAACGTTAAGATGCTGGTGGTGCTGGGCGAAGTGGGCGGCGTCGAGGAGTACCACATCTGCCGCGCTATACGTGACAAGCGCATCACCAAACCCATGGTCGCCTGGTGTATAGGGACCTGTTCGGGTGAGTACCAACACGTTATTGCTGGGAGACCTATTGTATTACTGTCAGTACAGCCATTCTATTGTGATTGTATGCTACCAGCATAGAATCACAATAGAATGGCTGTCAACCTTATTTTGTACGAGGATCGTTGTCGCCGGGAACACACATACAAGCAATTACGTCGTATTACTAACCCGATTCGCTGTGTTGACAAACTGAGCAAATTTGCACATTTTTGATTTTTAATTTATGTTTTTGACACATCTATATTTCTTTTTTTTGTTTCCAATATTCACAAAATATAAATAGTTTCGGCTTACTGGTTGTAGGATATATCTCATTTATTTGAATTTCCCGCTGTTCTTTCGACATGTAATTATTACACAATTTGCCATTTTTAAATAATTTGCATGCAGCGACACTTGACACGAAAATTGGAAACGATTAATTGTGTTGACATTTATACGTGTGAATTGACATGTTGGTGGCTACACGGGCTCCGCCCACTTCTCCGTTCTATTATGGGTATGTTCCGAAACGTTTTCAGTATACTGCCGAATACAAATGACGTCACAATTGACACTATATTGTACTGGCGTGCCGCCGCCAAATTGCGTCGGATATCCGGCCATAATAAAACAACTTTGAATTGTGTGTGCGCTGAATGAAGCATGCCAGAATTTGTTTTTATTGATTCAAATACAAAAAATTATAGAATAATTGCTGGTATCTCAATAAGGAGGATATAATGATTTTTGGAGCACAAAATGACAAATTAATCGCCAACATATGGCGCAAATGTATAACGTCATATACTGTCCTATGTTTTGGAACGAATCACCAGTATAGCGTCGATTCATGACGTCATTTGCATTGGACAGTACGCTGGGTTCTATTTTGGAACGTACCTATGTATGTATTATAGTATTCTATGGTTGGTAGGACTCCTACTACCTAGGAGTCCGTCTAGGCAGATACCACTCTTATACAATTTGATTCAATTATGAATTGCAACGTTAATTGCCTCGGAAAAGTACGGCTCGTAAATAAAATTAATTTTCCCCTTTTCATCATCATCATTACAGCCCTTCACACTGCTGAACATAGGCCTCCCCTAAGGAATGCCTCAAAGCACGGACCTGAGCCACCGTATTTCCATCGACTTCCTGCATGTCTTACCAGATCGTCACTCCATTTAGTGGGGAGGGGAAGAGGGGTTACACTTCGCCTATTGGTACGAGGCTGCCACATGAGGACCTTTCTTCTCCATCGGTTGTCAGTTCTTCGAGCTATATGGCCGGCCCAATGCCAGTTCAGCATACTGATCCGTTCCGTTATGTCGGTCACTCTGATTCTACTGCGGATATCCTCATTTCTAAGTTTATCACGCTGAGAAACCCCGAGCATAGCTCTTTTCGTAGCTCGGTTAGTAACCTCGAGCTTCCTTATAAGGCC